TGGACCTTTGGTCTGACCCAGTATGGCTGTTTTTATGTGGAGACTGATTCCTGTGTGACTCCTGCAGCAGACATCCTGACGAGAAACGGCTCCCGGAAAGTAGACTCCTCACTAGGGTGACCAGACAGCAAGTGTGAAAAATCAGGGCGGGGGTGGGGTTGGGAGGTAATAGGCGCCTATAGAAGAAAAAGCCCCAAATATCGGGACTGTCCCTCTAAAATAGGGACATCTGGTCACCCTACTCTTTACAATTAAAATTCAGGTAACAGCAAACTGAATCCTATTATTAAAGTTGCAGCTCCCTAGACAGGGCTGCTACCTTTTGCCCTTCCCCTGACGATGTTCTGAGGCAGGTCCCTGTTTTGTGGTGACCAGAGAGTGTATCCCCATTAAAAATACCTGTTCATTATTGTGCTCGGAGCTGTACAATAACAGAGCTCTTCCGATGCCCTGACGCCTTTCATAAATCAGCAGCAGGAACTGCAGAATGCAGTGCTTGCTCGGCTCGCCTTTAAGTGACAGCCCCGCACTCCACTTAGTTTTAGTTGCCGCTACCCCGGGCCAGGCTGCTGCTGAAGTCAATGGCGAAGCGCCCGTTGGCCGCACGGCTCCAAGCGCGGGCATCAGGACTTCGCGCGCCCTGCGAGCCGCGAGCACCGCCCTTAGCGCGCTGCAAGGCGTCGCGCCGCTCGGCCGTGCCTGGCGACGAGGTGCGGTTTTAAAATCTCAGGGTCCTGCTTGCGGTTGGTTGTAAGGAGCGGGCAGCGGGCTCAGCCCTGCCGAGTCTGTGTCTGTGCAATTCGCACGTCTGGCGAAATGCGTATTACCTCATTCAAGGCAAATCGGAGCGTTCGTAATGCGGAGCGCACAGTGTGCACGGCAAGGCTCTCCCTCCGCTTGCTCGGACAGTTCCGCAATACGCGTGGGCAGCTTGTAGTTACCAACGTATGGGGCCGTAGCTATGCCGCTGGAGGGCCCGCAGACAATCCCGGCGCAAAGGGGCCAGCAGCCTCATCAGATTCAATTGTTACGCTTGTGCGCCTGTCGGGGCCGCGGGGCTGCATCCAATGTCTCCGTGAGCGGCTATAAACAGCGCTCCGTCCACCCGGCACGCGGCTGCCTCTGGCTGTGTCCGTCACGTACATCTAACTTCGCTGTTTCTGTTAATCTGCTCAATTGCTATGATCTTCAGAGCAAAAAAAACCGCAAGGACGCTAATCTCTGGGCGTGTGACAGGTGCACTGGCGACGGGAAAGAAAGTGTTTGTGTGAAGTCGTTAACGCAATGGAACCGTACAGGGGTCTCTCCCCACTTTCCTGGCCAGGAGTTTCAATGCTGCTTTTTCCAGCTGGCAGGAAAGTCAATCGGATTCTTTCCACTGGCTTTCGAGGGAGCTGAATTGAGTCAGATCAGTCACTTGGCCTTGTTTGCTATCATTGGACGCGATCAAAGTGCTAACCACGGCAGAGGGTCTGTCTACACACAGCCAGGGTGCGAAGAGAGCGTTCGGAATGTAACACCCGGCAGCAGTTCCATTAACGTGAGCTATTTAGGCAGTGACTTGGTAGGTGAGTGCCGAGGGACTGGGTCCTAGTACGAGGAACGGTGGCATCCCAAAATGACAGGGATTAAAAAAAAAACACTACAACAAATACTGTCCAGCTATTCAAACTGTGCTCCCCTAGCTGACCCGCAGGAAAGTTGTTTATTAATCCAGTTGGATTCACGTGAAGCCGCTTGTGTCCGAACCTACTCCCACTGAAACCCGCAAAAAGCAGAATCAGGATCCCCCTTTGTCTTTTTACCCTCAAGAAAGTCCCGCTACCATGTTGCCTCTCTGAATACAGTGTGACCTGAGAGAATCTCTCCATGGAGGCATAAACTAGTCCTTTTTGGTTGTTTTAATCCTGGGCTCCGAAATTTTGCCCAGCTGCCAAATGTGTCGATTTCGGGCAAAGAATTCCCACTTGGAAATGCACCTTTATTTCTCCTCAAATGGAGAAGATGTCGTGGGTTGAATATGAACATGACTCCTGCTAGAAATCCTGAACAACCTGAAGCGGTTTTACAAAACAGTGGGGAGATCCAGGATGATTTTACAGTTTACATAAACACAGATGGGAAAGTACAGCAGTGTAGGTCTAAAGATTAAAACCCTGGCTGTGGATGTATTTGACTAATTTTTAATAAAATGTAGGTACAGTTTCCTAATCCTCTCCAAAATCTGGCAGATTAATAATTTCTTTCGTATTTTGTTAACGACCCATTTAAAAAAGGAATTTTTGTGGACAATGATATAAAATATGTTTTTGTCACGATTTTTGTAAATAATGTAAATAATAAATGAATCGGATTACTACAATTTCTAACTTTCCCCTTGTAAAGCTGGCTCTGGTTTGAGTCTGAGCGATAGCTATATGTCGGTTTTCAATGTTAAATTGTGTCTTTGAAACGGAATTAATTGATCTATTTAATCTGTATGTCGATAAGAGATTATTTTCAAAACTGAAGCAATGCAATTGTTGAACTGTAGGTTTATCTTATTCTCCGCGTGTGTGTTGGGGGATGAGGCTGCATTACTGTGTCTCTAATACAAAGTTTTTTTCATGAAATATAGATGTATACTGATTCATCATGTGGACTGGCAAATGTCCGTACTGTACCTCATCGGATTATGTTTGCATAAAGTCCCCAAATCTGACACTGTTAGATCTGGTTTAGTTCGTGATCATCACATAAGGCCACCATAATAGATCAGTTCAATAGCTAATGTTAAGAGGAGCTGCTGTTCTGATCTGTTACCGTGGGAATTTGCTGCTCACATCTGGTTTCCTCAATTAGTGTACCAGATCTGGCTGAATGGTATTTTTTCAGGGAAGGATTGGATCTTGGAAACGTTTGACAAATGCCAGTTGTGAAAGCTTTTTTCACATGTTTAGTTTCTTTGTGCGGATAGAGGGAAACAGATGGATTTCTGTTTAATATTTAAACATTTGTGCCATGGCAAAACAAGCCCAACCACAGCATGCAGAACCCTGTTCCTCACCTCCTGTTTCCAGCACCTAGTGGATTTCTGTCAGTTCCCTGCCTTTAATACCAACACTACCAGCCACCTCAAGTCTGGGCCCTTTTCGGAGGTAGGGAACTGAGACAGAGAGGATAAGTGACCTGCTGCAGGTCACACAAGTCTGTGGCAGAGAGGGGACTTGAACCCAGCTCAGTGCCCAGCTCCTGGGCCATCCTTCCTCTCAGATAACCCTATTGCCAGGTATACACTAGATCTATTTAATAATGGACTTTCTCTTATGAGAGAATAAGATTCTCCACCTCTGTGCCCAATAGCACCTTCTTTCAATGTGACTAGTTTGGAATGTGAGGATGTGACTGTTCGCTTCCCAGCTTATGGCTGCCTCTGCTGCTTAGCCAAAGGCCTTAGCCTAAGAACAGGGCCTCAGACTGTCACAGTAAGAGAAAGCCCTTACACCATCAGATAGTGATTTTGATTCTTTCTTTTATACCTCTGTAATTAGCCAAGTGATAAGAATACACCTAAATTCTTAGAGTATAGGCCTTTTCAGACAGGCCTGAATATCTATATCCTAACAAGGATTATCTGGGTATAGCTCACTTCACCATTTTCCTGCCATTGTGGGGGTCTCAGGCACTAGTGGGTTTCTGTCCCTCTTTTTGTCTGCCTATGGGATGTAGCCGTTTAGTCTCCTGTGGGCTGGAATACTTTGGTCTCATTTGGTTGTTGGGTTTAGTGTGCAGATAGTAGGTGATGCTGGTGGCCTGCAATAGACAGGAGGCCAGACTAGATGAACTGGTGGTCCTGACTGGCCTTAAACTCTGACACATAATTTATTCCTGGAAGCCTATTTATACTGATAAGTGTGTTCATACATTAGCAACAGCACGACTAACGCCAGGATTTCTGGACTGTTACACACATAGTCTAAAACAGCTAAAACAACGAAGAAGAAATAAACACTGCTTCTAGATACACTGTCCAAAAATCATGTTTTATTCATTCCTGTGTCAATGGTACTGACAACACTTTATTAAAAATGAAAGAATTTTTAAAATTTGCCCCAACTGTCTTTATTCTCCATTTCTTTTTGCAGTCATCTCAGCTAGGATACTGACCATCTATTAAGCCAGTTTGGCTTTCTCATTTTCTAGTTCTGCTAGTGCTTGGGTTTCATATACTGCAGAGTGTGGTGTATTGAAATCCATGTCAAAATTGTGATCTATCACTTTACATTCTCTGGAGTTTTTCTGGCTGTACTTGTAGATGAGGGCTCTGTAGGGAAGAGTCTGATCAGAGTCAGTCTGTGGACAGATAATTTAGAAAGAGGTGGAGTGAATTGTGCTTCTGTTTTTTAAGGGAGTAGCCTGCTTTGTCTCTCTGTTGTTGGTTCTAGTGTGTTAGCATTCTGAATTCTAAGAAATAACTTTAGTTTTAAGTGACAACCTTCCAGTAAGAGTATTTGTTTTTATCTAACTTCTTTACGTGTATGCCGTGAACATAACACACGGGAAAGTTACTTGTTTGAAATTGTTTCATTGGAATTTTAAAAACAATTATTCTAGTTTTAGGTTTTATACTTGTTTTAACAAAATGTAAAATGTGGGTCAAATTTAAATTGACAAACCAAAGGACTTCATAAAACATTTGATAGTAGCCAGATTTAGCAAAAATTTATGAGAAAAATACTTTATTTTATCTCCATTAATATACCTTTGAGTGTGTAATAATCATTTGTACCATCTTAAAAATAAATTAGATTTTTTTTATTTACATGTTATTAGTTCCTTACTTTCTTCCCATTTTATAATCTCAAACTGCTAAAATGGATGTTTTTGTATGTTTCTTTAATTAGGTTCGTAGCTGGAATCACTTAATTCCCATGGACTTCCTGAACTGGGGCCTAAATACAGAAAAAAGAGTGAACAAGGCTTTTCATTTATATTCTTCACCTGTTCATTTATCTTTTCAGAGTCTCAAGTGCCATCTTCTAGCAGTCTCATGGTCGCAGGTGGGAGGAATTTTCTCACGGGCAAAATCAAAGTTCTGATTCCTACAGCAAATGGCTCAAGCTGCTTAGTAAGACATTAAAGTTGACATGTTCAGAACTGTAATATAATATACCATACTACAAGGCAGGAGCATTAAGGATGCTATGGGAGCCATAATTGAAATGACTTGATTTACGTTTTTTAAAGCTCAATCATAATATTGCATTAGTAGGGATTTATTTATTTAGCATACGCTGCTAATAAAGATCAACATTGCATAACACGTTGTGCCATCCAGTGCTATCGAAACACATTCCTTTAAGACTGAAGATAGTGTCTATTAATAGTTAAGTGATATCTTTAAGTCATTCTTGGAAAATGCTGTTGCATTTTTTAGTGTTTAGGAATAATGGTCGCAAAACGTTCCCTTTTTTTCAGAGCCCTTATCCAAGTCGGAACTCTTTAGGAACTCTTCCTTGGCGGGCTGCACCACTGAAATGGTCTGTAACGTGACAGTAGGTAGGGTGGATTCCTATCTGTGGAGTAAGGACCATAAGCCTCTCCCTGGGACTGATCACTACCAACTCTCTCGGAAAACAATGTACTTCTCATACTGAATGCAACACAGGCTGATAGTGGCTGTTACTCCTGTAAAGTTACCAGTGAAGTTAGTGAGAATGAAACCTCCCTGGAATTGGCCATCAGTGGTAAGTGAGAATTTCTCTTTGCAGTATTTTATAGTTTTTGTTGTTTTAATTATGGGAATTAACTTCATGCTTCTTCGGAGTTTATGAAATTGTGTGTGTGTGTGTGCACGCGTAATGATCGGTGTTTATTCAATAATGGGCTACATTTTAAAAAATACACCATAAGTTCATCTCAGGTGCACATCTATGCAATTCAGTATTTCAATGGGTCATTTCAGAGCTCTGATGCTCTTAAGTGACTTCAGCAAATGTAGGAGTGATTGCACTCCTAAACAAGGGTCCACTGGTGCCATCAAGTTTAAGCTTAAAAAAGGATGGTGTAATATGGCCCCAAGTGCCAACAAAAAATAATTACCCAACTGAGAGCCCAGGAATAAGTGATTTAAATAAATGGTCCCAACCCAGGCTAGGAGTATAAATCCTCTCAAAATAGCTTGACACCAGTATTGGTTATCTGTACTTAAATGATGCATTTTCATGTGAAAATATTTTGATATGGTTTAAAATAAAAATTAGACCAAACCCACTGAACTGTGGGAAGACTTTGGAGTTGGGGGCTCTTTAATTTAAAATCTCAGTAAAGCTTTGTCTTCTATGTGCTATAGAAGTAAGTAAGTAGGATGTTTAAAATTGCCACCCATCCTATAGGTCACTATGCAGTGCCATGTTACCTAGTGGCAGTAATAGACTCTGGCTTGCAAATAGAGATATGCACCAGTTTTAGAGAGCGAGAATACAGCCTGGCTAGAATACAGCAGTAGCATCACCCTTTATTTTATAAGTGATTTATTTTTAGCTAACTAAATAAACTACCATAAGCCCCGCCTCAGAGATCATTCTACTAGTGCATTGTACCAGAAGTGAAAGCACAAAAGGTGGGAGAATGCAGGTACCAGTGTATATAGGTGGGAGCTGAGTGATGGCAGATGAGGAAGCACTGGGGGAGTCGAGTGAGCACAAAAGGACAATTGTTGCCCTCTTTGGTTGTACTGAAACTAAGGCAGTCTGGCTTAATCAAAACTGCAGGAGTCATGGAAAAATTTGGACATCTGGCCTTTCTAGACCTGGACGACAACAGAGTTGGGGGCAGTAATGTTTACAAGTGTGAGAGAGACAACTTGCAACAGGTTTTTTTAAAAAAATCTTGTAGAACAGCACTTAATATTCAAACTTGAAAGGGCAGATCGCAAAGTTGTTGTTTTAAAGGAAAAAGGCTATTTCTCTCTTGGGACATTTTCCACAAGTGAGGTTCAAAGAGTGGCTGATCGGAAAGTGATGTTTCTTCACACAGATTCTTCAGCTGTGGTTTCAGACTGAGTCATTTTGGGAATTGCTGTCAGAACTGCTGTCGTAAGTCTAGTAATGGGTGAGTAAAAGGATTGCAACTTCCTTGCCATTGATCACAGAACTGTATTTGGTTCATGGTGGATCTATGCTATGAGTTATATCAAAAAGATGGGGAAGGTGTGACCTAAAATAACACTATAGGTTTGTCTTCTAGAAACTGATCACAGCTGCACATATCAGTTTCTCTGTTTTACATATTTGTACCCAAAGGGATTTAAAGCTGAAATCCTTGGGGAATTTTGTTGCTGACTTCAGCTGGATCAGGATTTGGTTCTTATGGTGAAAATGAGGCTTCATGAAGGACTAAATTGTGCCTGGCCCTCTTGTGGGTGTGCAGAAGGAAAGGTGCAAGGAGTCTCCTCCCTCCAAAATGAACGACTGGCACAAGGAGCAGACTTAATTCCAGTCCCCCAGCTAAGAGAAGTGTGGGACTGCTCCCTGCAAGCATCTTCAGGGGTTCAAACTGCTCCAGCTGGGGTGTGTCGGAAGCAGGAACAAACATCCCAGCCCAATCCCTCCTTCAGCTGTTCCTGGAACAATGTAGTGCTGCACCTTGCCCCAGAGGGGCCAGTGGCTCTAAAGCTGTATTTAGCACAAACAAGAAGATTCAGTTTATGTTCTGTTTAGTTAGCGGTGCCCATGCTTAGAAATTACCTGGTTTGTCTGGGTTATTTGCAAAGCTGTCTCCAAAGACAAAATATATGAAAAGAAATGTACATCTCCTTTTAGAACACTGGTAGACATTAAGGGTATGTCTACAGAGCAACTAGACATCCACGGCTGGCCCGCACCAGCCATCTTGGGCTTGCAGGGTTTGGGCAGCAGTTGCTGTGTAGACTTCCGGGCTCAGGCTGGAGCCCTGGCTTGGGACCCAGCAAGGATGGAGGGTCTAAAGAGTTTGGGCTCCAGCCTGAGCTTGCATGTCTACAGATGGAAATGTTTAGCCCCTCATCCTGAGCCCTGCGAGCCCAAGGCAGCTGTGGGCTGAGCTGTGGGGCTTTTATCCCTATGTAGACGTAGCTGAGGTTCCTAAATCCCATTTTCAAAAGTGAATTATGTGCGTAAGTCATTTAGGTGCTTTTGCAGATGCGACACTTGTGCTAGCTCACTACCTCACTTTTCCTTTAACCCAGCCACGCTCTAGGGGAAAGGACATTGTACTCGTAACGCATTGAAAGAAATTTTCCTTAAGGCCATATTGCACCCTCAGTTTAATTCTTCATTCATTTCAATGGAGAGTTCCGCTTAAAATTGCAAGAGAAGAAGAGCCTGCTGCTGCTTTTTCTGAAGTAGAGCAGAGTGTAGGAGAGGAGAGCCTGGAGCACTGAGCCTGGGGCAAGACCTGAGGTCTGAACCAGAGGCTGTGAACCACAATCAGGTCATGTATTAAAATAGATATTTACAAGTTCACTGTATTGCTAGGGTTGCTAAAACCCAGGCACTCTTAAGTAGCAACAGATACTGTGGTGGGTGGGAACATTCTCTAAAAGATTACCTCAGGGACATCCTGACTTAACGCCAGATAAGAGGAATTTTTGTCTGAGACAACTGGAGTATAATACAAGGGAAGGTAACAAGTAGATGTCATCATAAAACATGTTCGGCAGTATGCAAGTTGTTTGTCTCAGTTAGAAATGTCAGGGTACCTCCCCTTAGCCCTCTGTACGGCCGAGAAGACAGCAGAAATTCCTGCCATGGGACGCTCAGGTGTTAGTGTACCTGTAACCACGGAGCCAGGGCACTAGTACTGTGCCTTGAGGGCAATACACCTGGCCGAGTGCTTTTGTCACTGAACTGTGCTGGTGGCCGCGCTTTATAAATCACATGGAGGTCTGCTGAAATAGCTCGCTGCATTCTGTGCTTGTGTTAACAACCTTGGCGTGCCAGAGATAACACTGAGCATCAGTAATAGCTCAAAACAGCTTCTGGACAGTGTTATCATGGCAATGACATTCCAGCCTTCAGCACTTAGCATCCTTTTATACTTGAGGTCAGAGAAGTCAAACTAATGTTCACTGGTAAGACAAATTATAACAGCACTTTATGTGTGTAGCTGTTACACATTTTACATGGGAAAAAGAATCCATGCCAATTACTGTTCTAGTGAACACTCTCTTTACAAATGCTAATGCTTCTCCTGCCATTGCTCATTTTTTTTTTCAGTAACAACTCCACTCTTCTTCCCCTCTCTTCAACTGTCTTTACAAATCAAACATTGTTTAAAGGGGCACTGTCAACTGGAAACCTAGTGAATTTCAAAAGATGCATTTAAAGCTCCTGCCCTAGGTCCCCCTGCCAATTTTTGTGGTTTTACAAACATATTTCTCTAAATTAATGTCAAATACCTTAAATAAACAAGCAAAAAATAACAGAGAAACTTATTTTTTTGCTAATCTTTCAGATACAATTTTTGTTGTTTTGTTTTGTTTTGTTACTTAGAAGTAGGCAAAAAACTTCCAAAGTATGTCCCTTTAATTGTATGTCCAAAGGCCAAAGTATGTCCCTTTAATTTTTTTGCTTTCTGCAGGATGGGGCTTCAATAAAATTTCTCTTCAGTTGGTTAAATATTGGGTGGGTTCAGTGAGCTGGATGATTATGAATAAATATCAGAAAATATATGGCAGCTAGAAAATATATGAAAAGCCAGCACCAAAACCGAAGATTAGGGTTGGGGGGGATACCTGGCAAAAGTATTCCAACTAATCAGTGGCTGGAAATTAGCTTGTCAGTGATGTAATGCAATCAGTTAGTCACTTGTAATAATTAAATCTGCCATTCTCTCACTGCTGTGACATTTCCATAGCAGGGTTGGGGTCAAATTACTGACATCCACAACTATCTTGTGACTTGTAGAAATTGTGGAATTATTATTTCCTCCCTAGGGTTCTGGTAACTCTCTTTGCTGTTCTGGGATGACCTCATTGGACTCTCCTCAATAGATTTACAATCTAAGAACAGGCATACTGGGTCAGAGCCATGGTCCATTTAGCCCAGTATCCTGCTTCTAATGGTGGCTGAATGCCTGGTGCTTCAGAAGGAAGTAACAGAACAGGGCAGTTTATCAAGTGATCCATCCCCTGGATAGGGTTGCATCCCTGACCATACTGACTACTAGTCATTGATGGACCTATCCTTCATGAATGTGTCTAATTCTTTTTTGAACCCAGTTATACTGGCCTTCACAACATCCCATGGCAACTGAGTGCCACAGGTTCATAGAATACCAGGATTTGAAGGGACCTCAGGAGGTCATCTAGTCCAACCCCCTGCTCAAAGCACGACCAATCCCCAATTTTTGGGCCAGATCCCTAGATGGCCCCCTCAAAGATTGAACTCACAACCCTGGGTTTAGCTAGGCCAATGCTCAAACCACTGAGCTATCCCTCCCCCCACTGTGTGTTGTGTGAAGAAGCACTGTATTTCCTTATGTCTGTGTTAAACCTGCTACCTATTAATTTCATTGGGTGACCTCTGGTTCTTGTATTATGTGAATGAGTAAATAACATTTCGTTATTCACTTTCTCCATATCAGTCATGATTTTATAGACCTCTATCGTATTCCCCCTTAATTGTCTGTCTCTTTTCTAAGCTGAACAGTCTGTCTTTTTAATCTCTCCTCATATGGGAGCTGCTCCATACCCCTAATCATTTTTGTTGCCCTCTTCTGTACTTTCTCCAATTCTAATATATCTCTTTTGAGATGAGGCAAACAGAACTGCATGCAATATTCAAGGTGTGGACATATATAGCATTATTATGGTATTTTGTGTCTTATTATCTATTCCTTTCCTAATGCATTACCTGTATTTGACTTTTTTTGATTCTGTAAAATAATGCACCCATTGCTTCTGGCTGAGGCCCCTTCAGGGAACCATCTGTGACTAATAGTCAATGTCAAGTGTCAGGACTGTTTGGAATTTGGGCCGGGAATCAGCAACCACCAGAGCCAAAGGAAATGAGTAACTGCTGAATTGATAGAATATGACGATACTAATAGAAGATTTCCTTTCCTTCTCCATTAGCAGATGGGGACTTACACAGTGAATAAAAACTCTGCCGTGCCTTCATCTGGATGAAGAAACAATCCCAATTTTAAAAAGAGACATAATGGAACAGAAAGTGAATTATACAGTTTGCATCTGCCCAGCAACAACCACTTCATCAGGCTTAAGGCAGTCATCAGACCTCTTACAAATCACAAATTACAAATCAGTGTTCTCCGTCAGAAAATGCATCTGAAACTGTCCATCTTGTGGGTTTTGGTTCTTTGACGCAAAGTTGCCAGTTGCCCATCCATGAACAGTACTAGCACTCAGAACTCTTTTTAGAAAATGCCTGCCCAGCAAAGGGGAGAGAGAGAGCTGCAATTGCACAACGGCATCTGAAAATTATAACCTAGCATTTCAAGTTATGTAGGAACAGATTGAGTCTACATTTAAACAAACAAGCAACAAAATGCACAAAACAATAGACCTATAAGGGAGAGTGTTTAAAGGACAGGTTGTTTCCTATAGAGCAAGGGTGTCAAACTCATATTGGGGAGAGGGCTAAAGTCTATTTGTAGTTGTGGTCTATGAAGCAGGGTATAAATACAGATCTCTATGCAGTACGTCTCTGGATCCGTTGTAGGAACTTCCCTTATATTAATAGTAAGTCTGCCGAAAGGTCAAAGATAAATATGGCTCTTAGTAAACGCCAGTGTCTTATTGCTGAATTCACTCCGTAGAAAAATATGCTAACTTTTCAAACCATGGCTATTTTTGCTTTTGTTCCTCCTCCTTCTCTGTCCTCCTTTTCCTGTCTTTATGGATTGTTAAATGGAAAAATTGACCAGAATAATTATTGTAGGATAAACTTTTCTACAATAGCTCCTCATGTGGACACTACTCTGGAATTCATTATGGAATAATTAGTGCGATTTGAGCATGTAAATCATGTTATTCCGGAATAATTATATCCTGGAATAGTGTCTACCTCGGGAGCTATTCTGGTTTGTTTCCTTAAGCCTCTCCTTTCCTTCCTGCAGCATCTCCCAATTTCCCTCTTGTGGGCTTGACTGACTCCCAATTCTTTCACCATCCAATCTGTTAAACTGAGCAGTGATGAAATAGTTGTCAATGAAATGCTATAACACTGAAGAAGCAGTGTGTGTGCCCACTGTAACTCAAGCATGTCTCTCTCACCACCAGAAGTTGGTCTAATAAAAAATATTACCTCACCTGCAAGGCTAACAACTCAGGCCAAAGGGGCAACAATCTATATGTACTAATCATTTGTACCATTAACAATTTTTAAAATGTATTTGTAATAAAAATCTATTAACTAAAATGGCACCATTAGGCTTGTTGACTTCTTTCCCCTGGGGTCTTTGAGTGGTGGTTTTTGGAGGCCTTACAACAGGCAATGGTACAGGCTTTTCTGTGTCTATGGTGTACTCTAAAATACTTAGTGCTCTCTGACACACACACACACACACTCTTAAACCCTTTCACTACCTAATTGCAGGAGCAAACTATACTTGCACCAACAAATTAGAGAGTTGGGCTTTTACATTCTTGCACCTGCATCTGCAGACACAAAATTAGAGGCCAGGTTGATGGCTCTCTCAAAATGTCATCCTAAGTATTGGGGGGGGGGGGGGAGAGGAGTCAGTGTTGTGAAGAGCTGATCAAAGTGTTTGCTACAAATTAGGGCTATCAAGGTTAATCATGCTGTTAAACACTAATATAATACTGTGACAGTGCCCCCCATAAGGCTTTATGGAAATATGCTTATGAATGTATATATGACATAACTGGAATATGTTTTATGCTACATAGGCCATGTAACATATCTCTGTAAAGGTTATGGTCTGCTGAATCTATTCATCCTATTTGTATACATATATCATTCTTGTATTCAAAGTTATGAATATTGGCTGTATACTTGTCTGATTCTAAGTAGGTTTTAGTGAAGCAGTTGGTCAGCTTCCTGAGAAAAGACTATTCTCAGTAAGTGCCCAGCCAAGAAGCCCTTAAGCCAACAGTGAACTTGGAGACGCCAGTCCACATCTGAGCTTTCTCAGGAATGTGGCTTGGCTGGTAAGGAACTCAGTCATGCATGGACATGTGACTTGCCCAGGTGACTCCAAAACTCCATTTTGTAGCTGGGCTTTTGCATAGGAGAGAAGAGGGGGTCTCCACCCACAAGAGAAAGTCTATTTAAACTGCTGGGAGACCCCTCCTTTTTGTCTTCAGCTGGCTAATGAGATAGCCTCTCCACCCCAAAGGATACCTGAAACAAACTGAAACAAAGGACAGTAACTCCAGAGTGTGTGAGTGCTTGCTGGACCCAGACTAGAAGGAGGCTAGTCTGTAAAAGGAAGCTTACTGGAACTGGTGAGGTTTTATCTGTATATTAGACATAGACTTGCATGTTTTATTTTATTTTGCTTGGTAATTCACTTTGTTCTGTCTGTTACTACTTGGAACCACTTAAATTCTACTTTCTGTATTTAATAAAATCACTTTTTACTTATTAATTAACCCAGAGTATCTATTAATACTTGGCGGGGGTCGGGGGAGGGCAAACAGCTGTGGATCTCTCTCTATCAGTGTTATAGAGGGTGAACAATTTATGAGTTTACCCTGTATAACCTTTATACAGGGTAAAACTGATTTATTTAGGGTTTGGACCCCATTGGGAGTTGGGCATCTGAGTGTTAAAGGCAGGAACTCTTCTGTAAGCTGCTCTCAGTTAAGCTTGCAGTTTGTGGGACGTGGTTCAGACCTGGGTCTGTGTTTGTGGCCGGCAAGCGCATCTGGCACATTCAGGTAGGGTTCTGGAGTCCCAAGCTGGCAAGAAGGGCTGGGGCAGAAGTAGTCTTGGCACATTGGGTGGCAGTCCCAAGGGGGTTTCTGTGATCCAACCCATCACAAATACCATTTATTTAAACATTTTTGGATATTTTCTACATTTTAAAATATATTAATTTCAATTACAACACAGAATACAAAGTGCACAGTGCTCACTTTATATTTATTTTTTATTATAAATATTGCACGGTAAAAAACAAAAGAAATAGTATTTTTCAATTCCCCCATTGGAACTACTGTAGTGCAATCTCTTTATCATGAAAATTCAATTTATAAATGTAGAATTATGTAAAAAAAACAACCCTGCATTCAAAAATAAAACTATGTAAAACTTTAGAGCCTACAAGTCCACTTAGTCCTACTTCTTGTTCAGCTAATTGCAAAGACAAACAAGTTTGTTTACATTGCAGGAGATAATGCTGCCCACTTTTTGTTTACAATGTCACCTGAAAGCGAGAATAGGCATTTACCTGCCACTGTTGCAGCACATCACAAGATATTTACGTGCCAAATGCCCTAAAGATTCATATGTCCCTTCATGCTTCAACCACCATTCCAGAGGACATGCATCCATGCTGATGATGGGTTCTGCTCGATAACAATCCAAAGCAGTGCAGACTGATGCATGTTCATTTTCATCATTTGAGTCAGATGCCACCAGCAGAAGGTTGATTTTCTTTTTTGGTGGTTTGGTTTCTGTTGTTTCCACATCAGAATGGTGCTTTTTTAAGACTTCTGAAAGCATGCTCCACACCTCGTTCCTCTCTTGTAAGGCACTTCCGATTCTTAAACCTTGGGTCGAGTGCTGTAGCTATCTTTAGAAATCTCACATTGGTACCTTCTTTGCGTTTTGTGAAATCTGCAGTGAAAGTGTTCTTAAAACAAACAACATGTGCTGGGTTGTCATCCGAGCCTGCTATAACATGAAATACATAGCAGAATGTGGGTAAACAGAGCAGAAGACATACAATTCTCCCCCAAGGAGTTCAGTCATAAAGTTAATGAACACATTTTTTTAATGAGCATCATCAGCATGGAAGCAGCCCTCTGGAATGGTAGCCGAAGCATGAAGGGGCATACGAATGTTTAGCATATTTGGCATGTAAATACCTTGCAGTGCCGGCTACAAAAGTGCCATGTGAATGCCTGTTCTCACTTTCAGGTGATATTGTATATAAAAAGCAGGTAGCATTATGTCCCGTAAATGTGAACAAACTTGTTTGTCTTCACAATGGGCTGAACAAGAAGTAAGACTGAGTGGACTTGCAGGCTCTAAAGTTTTACATTGTTTTGTTTTTTGAGTGCAGTTGTGTAACAAAAAAAATCCACATTTTGTAAGTTGCACTTTCACAATAAAGAGATTGCACTACGTACTTGTATGAGGTGAATTGAAAAATACTATTTCTTTTGCTTATCATTTTTAGAGAGCAAATATTTAATCAAAAACAATATGAAGTGAGCACTGTACACTTTGTATTCTGTGTTGTAATTGAAATCAATATATTTTAAAACAAAAACATCCAAAATATTTAATAAATTTCAAGTGATAGTCTATTGCTTAACAGTGCAGTTAAAACTGATTAGTTGCAATTAATTTTTTTGAGTTAATCACTTGAGTTAACTGCGATTAATTAACAGCCCTACTACAAATCATATCAATTTTAAGTTTCATGACCCCATCCTAGTTTTTGGGAGTGTTTTTACTTAAGTATTGGATGAGCAGTTTTAACAAATAACTTTTAGGCTATTGATGGTTCACAAACTTTTCACTTGATCTTCTATGTGCTATTCGTATTGGAGGAGTCCCACTACCTTGAATTAGTTGCAGGGGCAGCAGCAGGGCCTAGTGGGTAGAGCACAAGAGCAAGACTCAGGAGACACGGGTTCTATCCATGGTTCTGCTGCTGGCCTACTTTAGGCAAGTGCTTGAGTCCTCCCATGGCTCCACTGGGATTACTGACGCTTAGATTTAAGCACATGCTTATGTGTTTTACTGACTGAGGTGCTGCTGCTCACTTATATAACACATAAAGATATGAGGGGCAGGGTGTGTGTGTGTCTTTCCTATGAATCTCTTGGGTTTGACAGGAGAACCATCTGGGCCTTCAGAGCTGGTTTATGGATTAAAATAAAAGAAGCTTTACACCGGACTGGATTCTACTTTTTGTGTCCTGTGAAATCATCACAGAAATCATCACGTGACAGTGTGCTATTGTGAGAAGTGTTTATTCTCTGTGTGATGAAGAAGCTGTAAATGGGTGAAGCTGGGCTATATCAGCAGGTAGATGTAGCATTTTGATAGCTCCAGCCATGCTGGGGAAATTAAGTATATCTATCTATCTATCTATCTATATGCCTTCATAGCTCCTGAGTCCCTATAGGGATAGTTAAAAGATTTCTTTTTGCTCTTAATCAATTGTTACTATGGGAAAAACTGAGTTAAAACAACACAGGAGAGTGAAAAGAGGAAGTAAATAAAATTGTCAGAGAATTCTGACAATCAGGCTGGAAAAATTGTAAAAAAGTGAGCCCACACTCTCCTTTTCTTCCATATATGTGTGAGGGTTTTTTTGTTGTGTTTTTGTTTTTTAAACAAGGAAATATATCTGATCCCAGACAGTCACATTCTTTCCCAACTTGACTTTCACGGACAGATGTGGGTTTTTTGGTTTATTTTGTTGTTTATTATACAAGGAGATAGTTATTGCAGATTTGTTATCATGCTGTAAAACTATAAGCAAAGACAAGGCACTTATAGTTCTGACTGGGAGATTGTTGGGTAGGATCAGCACTATATATACCCACCCACCCATTCCTGGCTGAACTTGCCTAATTTCCTTGTGGCAACACTACAGTGCCTTATCTCCACTAAGTTTTTGTAGCAGAATAGCTAACATCAATTCACTACCTCAAAGTAAAGCAAAGGCAAAGCCACTGTGTCAGTGAAGAAAAAACTCTTCAGTAAAGACTCAGGTGAACATGAGCTAACTTCTCTCTCCTCAGGCCCTACGCTACCAGCACTCCCCGCTATCTTTGAGACACCACTGACTTCCTGAGGAAACTATAGTCCTTTGGTGATAGTCCAGAAAACACCATCCTGGCCACCATGGATGAAGAAGCCTTCTACATGAACATTCCACACAAAGATGGACTACAAGCTGTCAGGAATAGCATCCCCGATACCATCACTGCAAACCTGGTGGCTGAACTTTGTGACTTTGTCCTCACCCACAACTATTTCAGATTTGGAGACAATTTTTACCTTCAAGTCAGCGGGACTGCTATGGGTACCCGCATGGGCCCACAGTATGCCAACGTTTTTATGGCTGACTTAGAACAACGCTTCCTAAGCTCTCGTCCCCTTACAGCCCTGCTCTACTTGCACTACACTGATGACATCTTCATCATCTGGACCCATGGGAAGGAGGCCCTTGAGGAATTCCACCAAGATTTCAACAAATCCACCCCACCATCAACTTCAGCTTGGACCAGTCCACACAAGAGGTCCACTTCCTAGACACTCAGGGCCGGTGTAACCACTAGGCGAACTAGGTGGCCGCCTAGGGCCCCAAGGTTTGGGGGCGCCAAAAAGCGATGCCCCCCAATTTTTTTTTTACATTGTTGCTCCCGGTGGGGGGACGGGCCGCTCGCAGCTGCGTTAGCACCTACCTCTGCGGGAGTCCTCTGCAACTGCAGGCCCCGCCGCCTCCCTCTGCCACGCCCCACATCACTGCCCACCTGCACCCCCCCGCCAGCCCGGAGCCGCCTCCTTCCCGAGTCCCCAGGCTGCCACATTGCTCCCTAGCCCGCTCCCTCCGGCTCTGGCAGTCCCGGACCCCCTGCCGCAGCAGCGGCTGCTGCCCAAGGGCTGCCGGCTGCAGATCGGAGCGGGTGACATCAGTCCGCCTGCAGCTGGCCCTATTGACAGCAATGCAGCGGCGGGAGGGGGGGCAGGGATGGGGGAAAGGAAGAGGAGACTGTGGCCACTGGTCCACCTGCAGGGGTGGATCATGGCCCTGCCAGAGGATACAGGGTTAAAGAGCTGCAAAAGTGTAACTGTCCTCAGCACGTGCCACCTTCCAAGCCTTCATCTCCATCCGTCCCTGCAGCCCTGTGGAGCAGGTAAATAGAGCCCCATTTTGGGGAAACTTAGGCAGAGAACAGAGACATGACTTGCCCAAGATCACCCAGGGAGTCATTGTTGGAGTCCTGCTTTGAACACAGGAGACTGAGGCTCCTACTTCTGCGCTGGCTCAGACCGTTAGACCAGAGGCCTTCAAGCCCTGAGCTCTGCACCTGCCCACACAAGGTATTAATCTGGGATTCAGGGGCAGCACACTGCAAGTTTTCAGTGAAGAAACCCGGCTGCCTCGAGCCCTTATGGCTACAAAGAAAATCTTCCAAAGGTGATGGGCGTCTAGCCGACACAGTTCTGTCTGCCTGAGTCTGCAGCCAGCCTGGGACAACAGCTCTAAGAAATGTGGCAGTAACTATTAAGTCTAATTACGACACCGTCGGAGCCAGATTTTCATGTAACATGGGTGACCAGTCGCGTGGTGCACAACCACTGCAAGTCTGCGAGCAACTCAGGTTAAGTGTAGCTGAACCCTGGGCAAGCTGCAGCACCCAAGAGATCTTTGTTCTCCCACTGAATGACAGTAGATGCACCAGTAACTTTCCTAGGTAGAAGTTTAGTGACCACATTAGGGCCATATCCTCTCTACTCCCAGCACTGGGCCAACTGCCCCTCATCATTCTCCTGATTGCTTGTATTGTGATTGATGGGAGATCTGCTGTGGATTGAGGGAAGTATCTGGACCTGCCTTTGCAGGCTCAGTCCTGGCCCAGCATTCGAAATAAAGTGCCCTGAATTTCAGAAGTACTGAGAACCCTGGAGTTCTCACAGACATCAGGGGAACCGCAGGTGCTCAGCATCTCTGAAAATCAGGCCCAGAATGACACTGACGCCTCTGCCCTGGGCCAGAGCTCTCTGAGTAAGGGGCTTCAGCAGCGACTGGCGTGGGGCAGAGTAAAGTAACCAGGACAGTCATGATGGAGGCTGAAACTCTATCCTCACCTCACACCTGTGGGGAAGACAGGCCTTCAGACACCCTCTCCCGCCTGCATTGCACTTTCCAGCCCAGGAGCAAGGAACCATTTCACACCTGAATGCTGGGGGGAGCTGAAGCCCAGAACGGGGAAGTAACTTGCCTGAAGTCATCCAGTGAGTTGGTGCCAGGGTGGAGAATAGAAGCCAGATCTCAACTCCCAGCTCTGTGCTCTGATCCCCAAAACAGCCCTTTCCAGATCCATGGGGGAATGGGGGGGTGGGGAGCAGGAGGGGCTCTAGCCACGTGCAGGAGACCCAAAGCCCTTTATTTTCATTAAATATATAGACTAAATAATGAAATTAATAAATTTTCAAGCCAAACATATTAATTCTAATGAACAATGCCACTTTATGTAGTACTCATTTTTGAAAGTTTATAATAAGCGATGCTCCGGGGGGAGGGAAGGAGGAGGAGCGGGGTGCAAGGTGGAAGTTTCACCTAGGGCGCAAAATATCCTTGCACCAGCCCTGACACTACAGTGCTAATAAGTGATGGTCACATAAACCCCACCCTATACCGGAAACCTACCGACTGCTATACTTACCTACATGCCTCCAGCTTTCATCCAGACCACATCACATGATCCATTGTCTACAGCCAAGCTCTAAGATACAACTGCATTTGCTCCAATCCCTCAGACAGAGACAAACACCTACAGGATCTCTGTCAAGTGTTCTTACAACTACAGTACCCACCTGGTGAAGTGAAGAAACAGATTGACAGAGCCAGAAGGGTACCCAGGAGTCACCTACGATAAGACAGGCCCAACAAAGAAAGTAACAGAACACCACTGGCCGTCACCTACAGCCCCAACTAAAACCTCTCCAGCACATCATCAAGGATCTACAACCTATCCTGAAGGACGATCCCTCACTCTCACAGACCTTGGGGGACAGGCCAGTCCTCACTTACAGACAGCCCCCTGACCTGAAGCAAATACTCACCAGCAACTACACACCACACAACAAAAACACCAGCCCAGGAACCAAACCCTGCAACAAACCCCATTGCCAACTCTCTCCACATGTCTATGCAAGCGACACCATCTTAGGACTTAACCACATCAGCTATACCATCAGGTGCTCATTCACCTGCACCTCTATCAATGTGATATATGCCATCATGTGCTAGCAATGCTCCTCTGCCATGTACATTGGCCAAACCGGACAATCTCTACGCAAAAGAATAAATGGACACAAATCTGACATCAGGAATCATAACATTCAAAAACCAGTGGGAGAACCTTTCAGTCTCCCTGGTCACTCAATAACAGACCTCAAAGTGGCAATTCTTCAACAAAAAAACTTCAAAAACAGACTCCAACATGAAACTGCAGAACTGGAATTAATTTGCAAACTGGACAACATCAGATTAGGCCTGAATAAAGACTGGGAGTGGTCGGGTCATTACAAAACCTAAACCTGATTTCCCCCGACTGTTACTCACACCTTCTTGTCAACTGTCTGAAATGGGCCACTCTCATTCCCACTTAAAAAGTTATTTTTCCTCCCTTGGTATCCTGCTGTCGATTGAATTGTCTCGTTAGACTGACCTCACACTTGGTAAGACAACAAACTCAAGTTAAAATAATAATACCTAGCTCATATATGGCTCTTCTGAGCTGTAGCTCTCAAAGAACCTTCATAATCTTTTGATGTATTTATCCTCCCTGGGAGGCAGGGAAGTGCTATTATTATCCTAATTTTACAGATGGGAAACTGAGGCGCTAAGAGACTTGCCCAAGGTCTTGCCCAGTACAGGAAGTCTGTGGCCATGCAGGGAATTGACCCCAGGTTTCCTAAATCCTAATCCAGTAAGCACTTCTCCACTTAAATTAAGGGTTATTGTGCCTGGCAACACTGGAGTTAATTGTGCGGTGAACATAAACCCCAAAATTACTGCCTTAAATGGAAGTGCTGGGTGATTGCTGAAGGACGATTGGGCAACTCCTAATCACAAAAAGAAAAGGAATACTTGTGGCACCTTAGAGACTAACCAATTTATTTGAGCATAAGCTTTCGTGAGCTACAGCTCACTTCATCGGATGCATACACAGGGGATCTCAGATTGTCCCCAGGGAATAATTTTGATTAACCCTTTTCCTGCAAGCATTTTCAACATACTGTGCTCCCCAAATTGCCCCATAAAATGCTTTCACTTTCACCCCTTTAAAACTATATGGAGCAGCATCGGCCCCCAATGCAATCTATAGGCCCAGAATCTAGGTCCTTTTTTTTTTCATTTTAATTTTGCCCACCTCCCTTACATATTTCTTGCCCTTATGAACACACAATTTCTGGAGACATATTACCTTAGTCTCCTGGCTGCTGTAATACTGTGGTCTAATTTTGGTTGTTGGGTTGACTGTGCAGGTACTGGGTGTTGTGGGTGGCCTGTGATATGGGGGAGGTCAGACAAGATGATATTTGGTGGTCCATTCTGCAGTGCCAGGTTTACAATGGCGCCAGTGGCTCCATGGAGCCAGGCCCATGCTCAGAAGGGTCCCCGGCCTACTCCACTTGCACTGTGCCGCGAGATCCTCTCCTCCTCCTGCCCACTACTTGCTCCTCTTGGCTTGCCTGCCAGCTGGCAGAGAACTCCTCTACGCCCCCTCGCCCCACCCCCCTGCTTCTCTCTGCCCTCTGGCAGGACCCTAGTGCACCTCTGGCTCTAGGCCTGTGGGGAGTCTGGGGGGTATGTGTGTGTGCTGGGTTGTGAGGCGGCAGGAAAGATGTGTGTGTTGGGGCAACTGGGAGTGGGAGTTCTGTGGGGGGTGCTGGGCAGTTATGGTGGGGCTTTGGGCAGAGGAGTGCTGCGCAGGGGTAATGTTGTGCAGGGCGCTGTGCATTTCTGGGGGAGCGCTGGACCTAGTGGGTCTGGGAGGCTATGGTCATAGGGAGTCGGGGGGGGTGTTGGGTGGGGGTCTCTGTGGCGTGGTAGGGCCGCCCCCCGAGGGGAAGGGGAATGCTGGCATCACAGGGCCACTGTGAGTCTGGCAACTGCCAGTTTGTAAAAAGTGCACTCGCATTGGGCGGAGCGGGGCCACCCCTGCCATGCCAGGCCCCTGGCTGGCCCCTCGGTCTGGGGTCTGACCTCCCCACGCCATGCTCCCTTGCCTAAACGGGGACCCACAAATATGTTTGGTGCCAGGCCCACAAAAGGTTAATCCGGCCCTGCCCTTCTGTGCTTAAACTTTAGGACACACAAACTAATCCATTTGGTTTATTTTAATCTTCAACTCCAGCCTAACCTAGGTGAGTTAATTTCAGCTGAACGCCTACTGCCAGGAACAGGAGAGTCCTGCTTCCATACTGAAATCAACAGCCAGGGAGCGTATGAATTTACTGGGGGGGAGAAGGTGTGGGCAGCTTGGAGTTTGTTTCTGATCAGAAACTCGTCAGGGACAAGGGAGCAACACGGGGTTGGATATCAGCACTCTGCCTGGGGGTGTGACTGACTCGCATCGACTTGGGGCAGCAGGTGTTTTGAACAGCGCCTGAATCTGGCAGGTTAACCCCCCCCCGAATTCCTTGGCATTTCGCACCGTGCCTGAGAAACGTTTGTGAAGGGATTATTCGTGAGCGTGCGGCAGCGTTGGTTGATCCCCGAGCCCAGGCGGCAGGAGCGTCTGATTTAGTGCCTGCGAGTCTCTCCGCCGGCCGGGCCCGCGCTCCGGCCATGCGCGCGCTGCGGGGCGCGGGGCTGCGGGCGCCGCTCTCAGGTGAGCGGGGGGCGCGCGGCATTCACAGCCCGGCGCGAGGAGCGGATGCTGGCGGGCAGCGCTGGGGTGGAGGGGAAGGGTCGCGAGGGACCGACGGGAAAGTCCGGCGACCGCAGGCCAAGGCGGGCGTGGGGCTGTTTTGCAGCGCCTGGGGCCCGTCCCCTTGTGGCGCAGAGCTCGATGCTCTGGCAAACCCGGCCCTGGCAGATCTTGATTAAATTCTTTTTGTCAGGTCTGTCGTACGCCCCCTCCCAGCCCCAGCGCTGGCTGCCAAGGGTCAGTGAGGGGAGCAGGATCTGTCCCGGGTGTGGGGGGCGGGGGGTTGGAGCGTTTTGGGCTGCAGCTTGCTGTTGGCTGCAGCTGCCTCTTCCCTGCAAGCCCTACCCCCGGGCATGGAGAGCCCTCCGCTGCCATTGACATCCAGTGGCGCCTCAGGCGTGTAGACCAGGCCAGCGGGGCCTGGCCCAGAACGGGTTGCGGTGAAGGGCTGTTGCGTGCCTGTAACCGACTTGTGCTGTGAGGTCTGAACCTGCCCGCTGTAGGGAAGTTGCTCGCAGTGGGGAAGGTGGCTGGGCCTCAGTGGTGAAGCCTAGAACTTTTTCTGCAAAGCTGCCTTTTCTTCCAGGGGGTCTGTGGGTTGCTGGGGTCTTTAAAAGGGTTCTGTGGTGTGGCCTAGCCCAGTCCTTCCCTGAGTCAGGTGTCCTCCCATTACTCCTCAAAGACGACGCCAAGAAATCTTCATACCAAACCTCCCACGCCATCGAAGCCTTTGTACGTACTGCAGGCTGGCCCAGAAAAGCTGTTTCAGAGAAGTTTTTTTTTTTTTTAAATGCTGTTGCTGTTATTTCTCATGCCCTTCTGTCTGCAGTGCCAGTTTTTCTCCTAGTGCCACGAGCTAAACTGTACACACTTCAGGAGCAGAAGGAAAGGGCAGTTGATACATCTTATAAACCTCCCTAAATAACCTGAGTTTGGTTTACCAGTCTGCATAATCATGCTGTGATTTTTTTAAAGGGCAGATATTTTGTGATTGAACCAGGGTTAGAAATTAAAGGCTCAATCCTGATAAACCTTAGTCCCATGAAGAAAAGGAGGACTTATGGCACCTTAGAGACTAACGAATTTATTTGAGCATAAGCTTTCATGAGCATCCGATGAAGTGAGCTGTAGCTCACGAAAGCTTATGCTCAAATAAATTTGTTAGTCTCTAAGGTGCCACAAGTCCTCCTTTTCTTTTTGCGAATACAGACTAACGTGGCTGCTACTCTGAAACTTAGTCCCAGGAGTAGTCCAAAAGAAACACCACTGAGGACAATGGGATGGTTTGCATGTGTAAGAACTGCTTCCATGCAAAAGGTCTGCACCCTGGGCCCTTATGCAATTTGCAGCTCCCAAATGAGGTAAAGCATCTATTTCTCTCCCTGCATTGGATTTTCAGTGGGACGTTCAGAGGCCAGCTGCCCTTTGTGTCTTTGAAAATCTTTCCTAAATCTGTTGCTGGTCCAGGACTAAAAACTGCCTATCCTACATCTTATACCAGCGTAGCTGTGGTGAGGTTAAAACACCACTTTGTGGAAAGATGGAGAAGTTTTTGTGTGGCTGGGTGTGTGTGTTTTTGTTTTCAAATATGGTCATGTCTTGAAATTTGCTCTGAGATTTGAACTTGTGCAACTTATTAAATGGGTATTACAGCCAAGTGTGTTTGGATGTAGATATAGATGCCTAGATATAAGTATCACACGTGGTAGTGGCACAAGTGTGAAAAACTGGATTCTCACAATAAATGTCACTCCTCTTGCACTCTGTGCACCGGGACCGCTTCTAATATCAAAATTTTTGAGCAGCTACAGTTGGCATTTAAACAGTCAGCCACTGAAATTCCTTTCTATCCTTTCACAGTGAGGAATTTCTTCCATCCAGGATGGGGAATATTCAATCCTTGACCAATGAGAGGCAAACAACTTAATTAGTTTTAAGAGAGAGCTTGACAAATGTATTAGTGCAGTTGTACGATGGAGTTGCTCGTGATGGGCAGGGGGTAGGGCATAGCAATTCTGGTTTGTTTTATGTGTCTAAAAGCTCATGCTTCAGGACTTTTAGCCACACCTGCAGGGGTCAGGAAGGTATCCACCCCATCCCCTCATGTATTCTGGTTTTGTTTTGTTTTCAAATTTCGTTTCCTCTGAAGCATCAGAGATGGCCGCAGCTGGAGATGGGAGTTCAGATGGGGAGGTCCAGGTCTCTGAGTGGGCACCAAGCATTCTCTCTCTCAGGTGCTTGGCTGACTTGGTGTTACTTGTGTGCTCAGGGTCTAACTGGTCAATGTATGTGGGATTGGGAAGGATATTTCCACTAGGGCAGATTGGCAATGACCTTAAGAACATAAGAACGGCCATACTGGGTTAGACCAAAGGTCCATCAAGCCCAGTATCCTGTCCTCTGACGGTGGCCAATGGTAGATGTCCCAAAGGGAATGAACAGACAGGTTATCATCAAGTGATCCATGCCCTATCACCCAATCCCAGCTTCTGGCAAACAGAGGCTAGGGATACCATTCCTGCCCATCCTGGCTGATAGCCATTGATGAACCTATCTTCTGTGAATCTATCTAGCTCCCTTTTGAACCCCGTTATAGTATTGGCCTTCACAACACCCTCTGGCAAGGAATTCCAGAGGTTGACAGTGCGTTGCGTGAGAAAATACTTTCTTATGTTTGTTTTAAACCTACTATCTATTAATTTCATTTGGTGGCCCCTTGTTCTTGTATTATGAGGAGTAAATAACACTTCCTTATTTACTTTCTTTATACCACTCATGATTTTATAGACCTCTATCATATCCCCCCTTAATCACCTCTTTTCCAAGCTGAAAAGTCCCAGTCTTATTAATCTCTTCTCATACGGAAGCTGTCCTATACCCCTAATAGTTTTTGTTGCCCTTTTCTGAACCTTTTCCAATTCCAGTATATCATTTTTGAGATGGGGTGACCACATCTGGATGCAGTATTCAAGGTGTGGGTGTACCATGGATTTATATAGAGGCAATCTGATATTTTCTGTCTTATTATCTATCCCTTTTTTGATGATTCCCAACATTCTGTTTGCTTTTTTGACTGCCACTGCACATTGAGTGGATGATTTCACAGAACTATCCACAATGACTCCAAGATCTTTCTTGAGTGGTAACAGCTAATTTAGACCCCCATCATTGTATATGTATAGTTAGAATTATGTTTTCCAATGTGCATTACTTTGCATTTATCAACATTAAATTTCATCTGCCATTTTGTTGCCCAGTCACCCAGTTTTGTGAGATCCTTTTGTAGCTCTTCGCAGTCTGCCTGGGACTTACAGAACTACTCAAGCTAGTTATCATCTGCAAATTTTGCCACCTCAGTGTTAACCCCTTTTTTGAGATAGTTTATGAATATGTTAAATAGGACTGGGCCCAGTACATATCCCTGGGGGACACCACTATTTACCTCTCTGCATTCTGAAAACTGACCATTTATTCCTACCCTTTGTTTCCTATCTTTTAACCAGTTATCACTCCATGAACGAACCTTCCCTCTTATCCCATGACTGCTTATTTTGCTTAAGAGCCTTTGGTGTGGGATCTTGTGAAAGGCTTTCTGAAAATCTAAATACACTATATCCACTGGATCTCCTTTGTCTGCATGCTTGTTGACCCCCTCAAAGAATTCTAGTAGATTGGTGAGGAATGATTTCCCTTTACAAAAACCATGTTAACTATTTCCCAACAAATTATGTTCATCCTTGTGTCTGACAATTTTGTTCTTTACGATAGTTTCAACCAATTTGCCTGGTACTGAAGTGAGGCTTACCTTGGGGCATTCCGTGGGACCTCTGCAACATGTGGGTCACTTGCTTGGATTATCTGGATATATCTTACTTAATCATTTCCCTGCCATTGCAGGGGCTTTGGCACTGGTGCACCTTGGTCCCACCTATGCTCTGCCTGTGGCACATTATAGTCTAGTCTCCTGGGGGCTGTAATGCTTTGGTCTCATTTTGGTTGTTGGATTTAGTATGCAGGGGCTGGGTGGTGTTGGTGGCCTGTGATTTACAGGAGGTCAGACTAGATGATCCGGTGAGTAGTTTAAAGCCAGAAATCTCACTCCCCATCAGGGTTAAAAATGGGACCATGATTTGATTAGAGAGACCGTCCTAAAGGTACTAAGCATTTGTGTGTACCTCTGGGAGACTTTGAGTTATTTTACCTTAAAATACAGCCCAGCTATGAGTGGGGAAACTATTTTTAACCAATCTGATCTGTGGATATTATAGTAGAGTCCCAGGTCATATATTAGACTTTGCCACCTATACAATCTTGCCTAGGATAAATAAAGAAATGATGCCTTGACTCAGGAAAGCACATGCTTAATTTTCAGCATGTGCTTACTCTGAACAAGGTGACTTCCTGAATTAGTGCCTGTATTTAGGAAAAGTTATTTCAGGTATTTGTATAGCTTTCTAATACAGCTGAATTCCTCACCATAGAGTCACAGTAAGGGAGCATGGTTTTACAGATGGAGGGACCTGAGGGTGTGTAGTGTGTAACGAATACATTATTCTGTATTCTATAGAGCTGGATATGAGAGACTACTGTCTGATAGGTAATACGTAAAAAGGCTACAGGGGGAGAGAGGAAGTACTGATGCTTGCTCTTTTAAGTGCAAGTCCAGGGTAGCAGTTTGGGTTGCCAACCCTCTAGGATTGTCCTGGAGTCTCCAGGAAATAAAGATGAATCTTTTTAATTTAAAGATTGTCATGTGATGAAACCTTCAGGAATACATCAGACCAAAATTGGCAACCCTAAAAGCAGCAGTGGCCTGGGCAGGGGACTCCCCAGTTGCAGGGCCCACAGAAGTTGGCTGAGGAGTGGCAGGTGCAGACAGGGTGTTGCCTGCAATAACTGACCCAGTTACTCTTAAGTCTTGCAAACAATTCTGCTTGGTGGTATGGGATTCCAAATTTTGTTTTGTCTTCCACTTTTTTCTCCGTGGATTCCTTTTTAAGGTTGCTCCTAACCCCTCTCTTCCATCCCTACTACCATTACTCCACTCAGCTGTGTAAATGCAGTGGGAGTTTTCAGGGCCCACTGACCATCATCTGTCTTATCCTCCTAAGGCTGCTAATACCACGTCCTAGCTCTTATTTAGCACATTTCATCCATGGGTCTCAAAGTGCTTTGAAAAGGAGATCAAGATCATTATCCCCATTTTACAGATGAGGAAAACTGAGGTATAGGTGGGGAAGTGACTTGTCCAAGGTCACCCAGCGGGCCAACGGCAGAGCTAGGAAGAGAATGCAGGTCTCCTGAGTCCTAGTATAGTACTCTGTCAACTAGGCCACGCTAGATAGCCTCCTGAGAATGTAGGAAGCATCTTCAGGACCTAGAGGACTGTTTCTGCTGCCTTGTGCTTACAGAGATAGACTCCAAGGCCCGGATCCTACAAGATGTGGCTCACTCTGGCTCCAATCCAGTATGCCCAGAAAGGGTTAGAATCATAGAATATCAGGGTTGGAAGGGACCTCAGGAGGTCATCTAGTCCAACCCCTGCTCAAAGCAGGACCAATCCCCAATTTTTGCCCCAGTTCCCTAAATGGCCCCCTCAAGGATTGAACTCACAACCCTGTGTTTAGCAGGCCAATGCTCAAACCACTGAGCTATCCCTCCCATACCTGCTAGGGGACAAGATGGAGCCAGGGCTCTAGCCAGTCCCTGCCCTGTTCCACCTCCCCCAGACAATCTGCATAAGGGAGGAATATAGTAGTTCTATGCAGCTTGTCTTCTCTGCTGCCCAAGATGCAGGTAGCTGGCACAAGGTTACAACGGGATACTTTATTCCCCAGAAGCCCCTGCACCACTGTGCTAGCTGGGCCATAATTTGGCACATGAATGTGTAAAAAAAAAAAAACTAGTTTACATGCATAATTAAGAGATCATAAACCTGTCTGAATTATTGATCAGTCACACAGATAACAAACAATGTTAATATGATGTTTAACATGATACCATATTGTTTTAATTGCTATTATCTGACAGGGAAGGTCCCCCTGATTGTAAATATCTCTTGGTGTTTACATTCAATTCACCATTTCACTGGCAACATATTTTAAAATATGCCCCCCTTCCTGGAGGGCCTGTGAAAGTGATTACTGTATTTTCACTCCTGGCTCTGCACCAGTGAGTACACTGCCCCTGAATCTGCTTTCTCTTGAACTAGTTTTACTCCGGTGTAACTTCAGTCTGGTAACTCCAAATTTACCACAGTGTGAGAACAGAATTGGGCCCAGGGCTTTTCCATTACTCTACTGACAATCCTGATGGGACAGATGCTCAAAATAACCATAATTTGCCTTTGATAAATATATCACACAGTGGCTCTGAAACAAAATAGATATTTAACCAAATGATTCTGATTAACTTATCTGTAAACCTCGGGGATTGTCAAAGCTTGACAAGTGATATGTCATCATTACTTTCAAGTGCCTTAGGTTGACATTCACCCCTGTATGGAGTTCTGGCATGAGCCCCAACATACCACCTAAGTCCCACTTAAAAGTTTAAGTGCTATTTAGGCCTTATGCTGACTCTCTGCATATGAGTGAATCTCCTCGGGATGTGGGGAAACACTATAATGACTTATTTGACATTCAAAACGGTAATGAACGATTCGTTCCTATAACTGACAGATCTTCAGAATGCAGTGTAGTTGCAGTTGGGGCAGTCCCAGGATATTGGAGAGATAAGGAAGACAAGGTAATATCTTTTATTGAACCAACTTGAAACAAGCTTTTGAGCCACCCAGAGCTCTTCTTCAGGTCTGGGAGAGGTACTCCCAGCTTCACAGCAACGTGCAAAGTGGAACAGACTGTGGTAGCACCCATTGTAAATGACCATTCAGATAGGGTGGCCGGTTAATACCTTTGTAATCCTAGGACAAAAAAGGGGGTTAATGGATTGCAGATTTATGGTCTACTACAACAATGCAGTGTCTCTGTTGAAGTGATTATTTTTTATTTTCACTCCTGGCTCTGCAGCGGTAATAATTATTCAGGCCCTGATTCTGCTTTCTCTTGAACTGGTTTTATACTGGTGTAACTACAGACGACAATAAACCAAACAAGAGCTGCTTGTTTTTTCTCTTGCAGTAGCATGGTTGATTTCATGGTGTTCCGTCATAGCTGGGCCCCCAGGAGAGAAGATGACTGCTGCTGCAGGATCCTGCATTATGCTCCCTGGACTGGATCAGTTGCAGGGTGTTAGCCTCATGCAGTGGAAATTTTCTGAGCAGTACCTCGTGATTTATCATGTCAATAACTCCAGTTTTCCTGACGTTGTGGACCAAGACCGATTTCTTTTCCAGAAGTCAAATGGATCTCTCCAGATCTGTAGATTAAAAGTGAATGACAGTGGGATCTATACCCTAATAATAAACATGAAGAAGCAAAATGAGAGATCCATCCAACTAGAAGTTGTTGGTAAGTCAGAGAAGATGATGATAAAATGGAACTCCTATTACTCTATTATTGGTCTCATCTGAACTCTTCTGGTTCTATTTTAATCTGTATAGACAGCACCTTTCAGAATCAGTGCCCTGGAAGAACTCGGCCTCTTGTTAGTGCTGTTCTTCAGTACGGGCAAGACTGAAAAACATTCCTGGCAGAATATCATTGTCGGTTGCAATTCACTGAGGAATGGTACCAGAAAGCTGCAGCTACTCTAGGAGTTTTCACTTGCACCAGGAGTAGAAAAGCTTCCCTTTAAAAAAAAAAAAAAAAAAAAATTCAATTTTCTAAAAGTTTGACTTTCAGTGGGACTCTCCATTTGACTTTCAGTGAGACCAAGGATATGTCTACCCAACAATCAGGGTGTGTGACTGCAGCATATGTAGCTATACCCTAGCCAGCTCAGATACTGATAGCAGTGAAGCTGACTTCAGCGTGGGCTATACAAACCTGCCTGGGTAATTACTCAGGTGGCTTGCCTGTACTGAAGCCCATGCTGCTATGGTTTCCCTGCTATCAGTACCTGAACTACCTTGTTACATCTACATATGCTGCAGTTATACACCCAATTGCAGTGTAGACGTACCCTTAGAATTGCCAAATCACTTAGGCACTTTTAAGATTTTTACCCAAACTCTTAATTGTAAAACTCATGCTGGTCCTAATCCAAATCCCACTGTAAGACATCCATTGATTTAAAGGGGAAGTGAATGAAGTCTTATCAGCAGGGCAGTGAAATAATTGCTTCTTTTCATCTAGAGCCCGTGTCCCAGCCGGAACTCTGGAGCAACTTGTCCTTGATCGGCCTTAGCACTGAGCTGGTGTGCAGCACATCAGTTGAGAAAGTGGCTAAATATCAGTGGAAGAAGGATGGGAAGCCCCTCCCTATAGAAAGCCATTACCAGCTCTCTCAGAATAACAGTGTGTTACTCATACTAAACACTACCTGGTCTGACAAAGGCTCCTATAGTTGTAATGTCAGTAATGAGGTCAACTGGCATGAAGTTTCCCTGGAGCTACCTGTTCAACGTAAGTTCCTTGTCTCACTGTTGCATTTTTAGTGTGTTCTGTCTGTTATTTAGGATTTATTTAACGTATCTTGCACTATTTACAGTGGAACAAATGGATTTCACCATCAACAAATCAAGTAGATTAGATTAGAACTACCATGACATGAATTACATTCCCAGGCAGACCAGTGCCATTTGCTTTCATGGTTGTACCATTAAGGACAACATGATCATGTAAGTGTAACCCTCTTGTTGCTGCCACTGGCACCTAGAATGGCTAGGTTCAGTCTAGTTTATAAAATAAATAAAACCATGGCTCAAGCCCCTAGCCAGGGCTGGATTCCTACTTCCAGCAATAGGACACTAAAGTGTAACCTCCCTGGTCACCTTGGCAGTTGGCTCTTCCCTACTTGCAATAGAGTCCTGTGATATATGGAACCGCCTCACGCATGGTCCAAATTATACATCCAAAGGGGAGGGGGTGCTTTCCTCTCTGGACTGGAGCAGGTGAGTGGTGGCAAGTGTTGAGGAATGTTGTTAAGGCTGCTTAGTTGTTACGACTGCTCAGTGCTGCTGTTCTTGGAGCTCCACCAGCAGAGGACGCAGCTTGCTGATTCAGCAGACCTCCTCAGTGTTGTTCATAAGAAAGACCACAGGCTCGGTTCAGTGGTGAAGGCATTCAGTCAGGTTCATAGTCCCCCATAGGAGCTACAGGTACACTAACACCATATATCCCGCAACAATGGTACGTGCTCAGTCAGCTCACCCGGATGCTGTCCTCTCGGCTGGGCAAAGATGCCCCTCCTATGACTTCTGCTTTTATACATTGATACAAACAAGTTATGTATTACTCCCCAGATGGTGTTAGTTACCACCCTTATCCTTGTACCCACTAGTGTGAACAAAACACCCTTATGCTGTCATCCCCTCCTTATCATATGAGGGATCGGTGTGTTCTTGTACCATCTCTTAGGAATATGTTTACATAGTTAATTGAGAGATCTGTGGCTTTTTTGTGTACCATCCTCTGCACTCAGGAATATGCTTCCTTGGTGTTAACTAATACCAAGTGTGGTGGTGTTTTGCTAAGGCAGGGCCTGCTCTGGTTCACACGCTAGTTATGCCTAGGGCTCCAGCAAGGCCTACAACAGGTAGGAGTCAGCACTGCAGGTTCTGCTGAGATTTGCAGCTATATGGTCCTGTTGTGTGTGACTTTGCTAGTCTGGTCCGGCCTTGCTGTGAAGCAACTCAGTGCTGCTGCTGCAAGTCCAACCTATTCCAAGATTGCAGAATTCCCAGGTGAGGAATCCAGAATAACAAAACCCGTGGTCGGAGTCTTGCTCCCTGGGATAGAGCTCCTGCTGTCTAGGACAGAGCCCTCTGCCTTCTCCTTGCTGAATTTGCAGGGGTGGCAGGTTTGCAGAAATTTTGGTGGTACCTAGAACCCGCCCCCGCCCAAACTCCACCCCCCTACCTGCCCCAGGCTCTGGGAGGGAGTTTGGGTGGAGGAGGAGGTCTGGGGTGCAGGCCCTAGGCTGGGGCAGAGGATTGGGGTGCAGGGTGCAGGCTCTGGGAGGGAGTTTGGGCATGGGAGGGGGTGCAGGGGTGAGGTCTGTGGGGTGTGGCTGCAGATGAGGGGTTTGGGGTATGGAAGGGGCTCAGGGCAAGAGTAGGGGTGTAGGTGGTGAGGGCTCTGTCTGGGGCTGGGAATGAGGGGTTTGGGGTGTGGGAGGGGCTCAGGGCAGAGGGTTGAGGGTGCTGTGGGGGGTGAAAGCTCTGGCTGGGGGTGTGGGCTCTGTGGTGGGGCACTTACTCTGGGTTTATTAATAAACAAAAGTGATTTTATTAAATACAGAAAGTACGATTTAAGTGGTTCCAAGTAGTAACAGACAGAACAAAGTAAGTCACCAAGCAAAAACATGCGAGTCTAAGCCTAATACATTAAGAAACTGATTACAGGTAATATCTAACCTTCAGAGATGTTCCAATAAGCTTCTTTCACAGACTAGACTCCTTCCTAGTCTGGGCCCAATCCTTTCCCATGTTACAGTCCTTGTTAGTTCCAGCAGATATCTCAGGTGGAAAGCAGGGGCTTTCTCATGACTGGCAGCCTCCTTTTTTCTGTTCCACCCCCTTTTTATAGCTTTGGCAAAAGGCAGGAATCTTTTGTCTCTCTGGGTCCTCACCCCTCCTTCTAAATGGAAAAGTACCAGATTTAAGATGGATTCTGGTATCACATGACATGGTCACATGTCCTGTAAGACCTTATTCTTCATTACCCACGGGCTGGCCCACATGTACACGTTACCTGAAATTGGGCCAGCTAGTAAGCTTAGGGAGGACTAATGACTCACCAGAATTTGGCAGAAAGAGCTATTATTCTGATAGCTTAGCTCAAAAGAAAAGGGGGCGGGGTCATGCTCACATACTCACACTCCCAGGACAGGCACGGCACTGGAGATGTCAGGATCCTTCAAGGTAAGTGTTCCACAGCACAGCAATGGATGGTGTGATGAAAGTAAGTCTTCCCAAGGCATGATGGAATGCAATGCAGCAGAACACTGGCCAGGTGGTCTGGGCGAAGGGCCTTCATGGGAGGTACAAGTTTATGAGTGCACTCCTGAGCACATGGCCACTTCCCCTTTTAAGGACCTGCTCCTCATGGCCTGCAACTAGAGATAACTTGGCCGCATCTGGTTGGTCACACTCCACCTCAGGCAGTGTCCATGCATTGGGTGTGTGATCACTGCCTAATTAGAGTCCCAGACACCTTGTCTACCTTGGAGCTCTTCTGAAGCAGCCCATTCATCCCACAAGCATTCCAGGAGGGAGGGGGAGAGGGAAAGCCACTTCACAGGTATTCAAAGAGGGAGAGGAGACAAAACCGGGGGGGGGGGGGAGAGTGTAAGAGACCTTTTCAGCATAGAGGTTATACATCACTGCTGCTCCTACAACAGTACACAGGAAGGCTTGCAGGTAAATAAACTCATTCACAACCAGTTGCCCTAGTCAATGGGAGCCATCAAGATTCTAAGCCACCATTAATGGCCTATACTTTGTATAATTACAATAGGACCTCAGAATTATACTTCATATTTCTAGCTTCAGATACAAGAATGATACATACATAGAAATAGGAGGAATATATTCAGTAGGTTTTAGACTTTTATGATACCTTACAAGAGACCTTTTGCATAAAGCATATTCCAGTTACATCATATTCACACTCATAAGCATATTTCCATAAAACATATGGAGTGCAATGTCACAGTTGTATTATTACTCTTTTACTATTCATAATTACCCTCTTAACGAATGGAGAAAGCATTTGCGATATCTAGAACTTACATTACTAAAATGTAAAGCTGTGCAAACAGGAAAACTTCAAAGAACTTTTTGAAAAATATTTGGAGGTGTGGAGAAAATATCACTTAGTGTATACGAGCTCTCACCCTGGTCTCCTGTGAGAGGGGCTTTTGCAAATATGTCCAGATTCTTGCGCAGTGCTATCTAGCTTATTTTTATATCCATAAACAGGCAAACATATATATATATATATACCTTTTAAACTGAAATTGTGAAGCACTGGTAGCAAGGCTATCAATAAATTGTTAACAATGGACTTTTGGTCCCAGTTTACAACAACATTATTGAACTTTGCATGCAGAATACACATAAACTTTTCCAAAAATACATTTTACACTACTTGACTTTTTGTAAGGACCTGATTTACATGTATAAATATACATCCCTGGCCCCACCCCAGAGCCTGCACCCCCAGCTGAAGCCCTCACCCCCCTCCTGTACCCCAGCATGGTGAAAGTGAGTGAGGGTGGGGGAGAGTGAGCGATGGGGCAGGGGGGTGGAGTGAGCAGGGGCGGGGCCTCAGGAAAGGGGCGGGGCAAAGGTACTGGATGCATTAGGTCTGGTTCTGTCTCTGCCCAGAGATACTTAAAGATTTGTGGTGAGAATTTCTTACTTATCTAAGGTCTAACTGTAATAAGAGTTGAGTGTGTTCCATCCCCTCCAGAAGCCACTAGATATCTTTCCTGGCTTGGAAAGAGAGTGTTACCAAAACGGTTTAATATTTTACATCTCACATTTTTCAGTAAAATCTATTGTTGAAACTGAAACATTTTTAAAACTTCTATTTGCAGAATACAGAAAGAGAATATGGATGCTACTCCCAGTTGGAATATGTATGATTGCCTATGTTGTCACTGGTAAGAAGGTTTTTAACTAATTAAAACTGGGGGTTAGGTTTTCTTACATCATTTCATTTAACTCTAACGTGCAAGCATCCATTTTGTTGCAATCTCTCTCTCTCTCCAGGTTTCTTCATTTTTAAATCCAGCTCATGAGTTTTTTTTTTTTTTTTTTTTAAATTCTGACTTTTATCAGAAGAAGGATCTTTTGGGGAAAAGAGCTTGCAACAGAACTTCCTTGAATGTCTTGTGTGATGTCCTAGTCAATTTCTGGAATAATTAATGAAGCACTTTATGGTGAGCAGAACCAGATGCTTCAGAGAAAGATGCACGAAACCATGCAGTGAGCAGTTACGGAACAATCCATTCCCAAGGAGGTCTCTGAACTCTCTGTGATGTTATTGACATGAACTGTGACTGTATAGATCATTGTTGCAACCACTGTTATATATTTACAGCAAATATTGTACAAAGGTTGTCATGTTGTCATGGTTGTCATGCTTCGAGCAGGGGGTTGGACTAGATGACCTTCTGGGGTCCCTTCCAACCCTTATATTCTATGATTCTATGTTTCTATGTGAGGTGTCTGTAAAGAGGTTATGATTTGCTGGTTATGCTATCTGTATGTGTGTATCATTTTTGTAGTTGAAGTTATGAAAATTGGCTATGTACTTGTATCTCAATGTGTTTTGATTCTAAGTAGACTCAGTGAAGCATTTGGTCAGCTTCTTGAGAAAGGAATTTGCAGATGAAGTGCCCAATCGAGAAACACTTAACTGACAATAGATTTGGGGAGACGCCAATCCATATCTGAGCTTTCCTGGGAATGTTCAAACTAACATGTAAACAATGGCATCGGCCTGCAGACTGAGTCACACATGTGACTTGCCCATGGGACTCCAGACTCCATCTTGCTGCTGTGATTTTTCCACAGTAAGAACAAAGGGGTGTCCTTCCATGGGCAGAGAATATAAAAGGCCCTGGAAACTGCTCCATCTTGTCTTCAATCCTGCTTCTGACCTCTGGAGGAACCTTGCTACAAACTGAAGCTCTGAACAAAGGACTGAATGACCCATCCCAGCTGTGGATGTACTCCAGAGACTTGATTTGAACCTGCAGTTTATTACACCACTGCTACAAGCCTGAACAGGAACTTTGCCATTACTGTATTAAATTGATTCCATTTAACCAATTTTAGCTCTCATCTATATTTTTTTCATTTATGAATAACCCTATAGATTTTAGATTCTAAAGGATTGGCAACAGCGTGATTTGTGGGTAAGATCTGATTTGTATATTGACCTGGGTCTGGGGCTTGGTCCTTTGGGATCGAGAGAAGCTTTTTTCTTTTACTGGGGCATTGGTTTTCATAACCATTCATCCCTATAATAAGTGGTACTGGTGGTGATACTGGGAAACTGGAATGTCTAAGGGAATTGCTTGTATGACTTACGGTTAGCCAGTGGGGTGAAACTGAAGTCCTTTCTGTTTGGCTGGTTCAATGTGCCTTAGAGGTGGAGAACCACCAACCTGGGGCTGTAACTGCCCTGCTCTAAACAATTTGTCCTGAATTGATATGCTCAGGTGTGTCCCACCAAAGGCAGCTTCATTACAGGTGTCCTAGTCAATTTCTGGACTAATTAATGAAGCACTTTATGGTGAGCAGAACCAGATGTTTTAGAGAGAGATGCAAGAAACCAGGCAGTAAGCAGTTATGGAACAATCCGTTCCCAAGGAGGTCTCTGAACTCTCAATTGTTGGATTAACATATACTGTGAAGAATTAAGGCTTGAGTGTCAAGGAGGGTTTGAAGTAGCCATTTCAACACTTGTGTGTTCAATCCTCACTATTATAATGTTGGATGTTTCTGTTCTCCATATAAATATCCAAACTGTTTTTAATTCTTCCAAGCTGAGTCCTGGCCTTAATGATATCTCATAGCAGTGAGTTCCACTCACCTCAGCTGGTGTCTAGCTGAGCATGGATGAGGATCAAACCCAGAGGTGATGGAGGGTTGGGAGAAGTGGAAGAGGTAGTATCAGCCCTTCTGGAGGAATTCGTTTATTTGATCATATGACAGTGGTAACCCAGTCAGTGTCTGGTTTTTTGGGGTTTTTATAAACCGGGCACATCATAGGGTAGGAGGCTGTGACCTTGCCTGTTGGATGCAGACCTTGCTACTGTTATCCTGGCTTTTGTCATCTCGAGATTAGACTACTGCAGCGCACTCCGCAGGTGACTAGACTTTAAAACCAGTCGGAGACTGAGGCTATGTCTACACTAGAGACTTTACAGCAGGACAGTTGTACCGATGCAGCTGCACAGCGGGAAGGTCTGCCATGTAGCTGCCCTATGCTGGCGAGAGAGAGCTCTCCCATCGACATAATTAACTACCCCCAACAAGTGGCAGTAGCTGTGTCAGCAGGAGAGTGGCACTGACTGACTCTTGGTCTCTGGTGGAATTTAAAGTGTTGGTTATGACCTACAAAGGGCTAACTGTCTTGGCGCTGGCCTGCTTGAGGGATTGCTTCTCTCGCCATGCCATGCTGCCGGAGCTGCAGTCAGTAGGGGCATTCAGGCTCGATCCCTATGAAAGAGAGGCGGCAGCTGGCAGCGCATTCTCTGTGAAGGCTCTGGAACCTGCTCCTCTTGGTATGAAATAGCCCACATTTGGTAACTTCCTAGGCATGCTGCAAAAGACATCTCTCTGATAAGGGCTCTGGAAACAATGTGGAGAGGTGACCAGCTGGCAAAGTTCCTGTGGAACTAATTTTAATGCTGCTGAGACTCACTGGTATTTATTGTGTAATTAATTATGTAACGGCACCTAGAGCTTTGGATTGGTAGATTTAAATCTAAATAAAGAAAATATTTTATCACTTCCTTCCACTGTTTGCTTCTATTGTTATTGTCCCATGAAACAATACCATCAATGATTTCCTGTTAGTGTTTATTTAAACTTGTACTTAATCTCACCTATATGCTTTTTTTTAAAAAAGACATTTCATTGTCAGTATAGTGTTAGCTATTAACCTAATTTATTGTGCCTTTTAAAAAAAGCTGCAAAAGTGCCTGTAAAATTGTTCAATAAAATATTTTAACTTAATTTTGCAACTAAGATATTTTTTTTCCCTTCTAAGCACCTCTCCTAATTTACTGGCAGACTGGGCTCAAAATTAAAGTACAGCATCACATTAAGACCAAAATAATAATTTTTCCATGCCTAAAGTTGACTTCACTGGAGCGGCATGTGCTTAGCATCTGCTAAAAACATGGCTACTTATTTCGTGGCCTAACTCAGGCATTTTCTAGTGTGAAAATTTTGGCCAGAGTTTAGAAGACCTGCCACGGACCATGTAAAAAGTGAGAGACAGAGCTGGGAACAAAGCCTTGGGCTCTAGTTAAGAAAATTTAAATTGCAATCTTTCCATAAATGCATTTTGTGTGGGGTTTTTTCAAAGCTTCTGTCAAGGTTCCTTCCCCACTCTGAAGTCTAGGGTACAGATGTGGGGACCTGCATGAAAGATCCCCTAAGCTTATTCTTAGCAGCTTAGGTTAAAAACTTCCCCAAGGTACAAACTTTGCCTTGTCCTTGAACCCTATGCTGCCACCACCAAGCGTATTAACAAAGAACAGGGAAAGAGCCCACTTGGAGACGTCTTCCCCCAAAATATCCCCCCAATCCCTACATCCCCTTTCTTGGGGAAGGCTTGATAAAAATCCTCACCAATTTGTACAGGTGAACACAGACCCAAACCCTTGGATCTTAAGAACAATGAAAAATCAATCAGGTTCTTAAAAGAAGAATTTTAATTAAAGAAAAGATAAAAGAATCACCTCTGTAAAATCAGGATGATAAATACCTTACAGGGTAAACAGATTCAAAACATAGAGAATCCCTCTAGGCAAAAGCTTAAGTTACAAAAAGACACAAAAGCAGGAATATACATTCCATTCAGCACAACTTATTTTACCAGCCATTAAACAAAAGGAAATCTAACGCATTTCTAGCTAGATTACTGACTAACTTAATAGAGTTTCTGAGACTGCATTCCTGATCTGTTCCTGGCAAAAGCATCACACAGACAGACAGATCCTTTGTTTCTCCCCTACTCCAGATTTGAAAGTATCTTGTCTCCTCATTGGTCATTTTGGTTAGGTGCCAGCGAGGTTATCTTAGCTTCTTAGCTCTTTACAGGTGAAAGGGTTTTGCATCTGGCTAGGAGGGATTTTATAGCACTGTATACAGAAAGGTGGTTACCCTTCCGTTTATTTTTATGACAGCTTCTAATGTGTGAGAGGAATTTTGTGATTCTATATTTGATGTTAGGGATACATATGGTCTAACAATTCATAGTTATTTATTAAAACCTGTTCCAGGAGGTGAACATCTATTAACCTCCTTTCTGCTAGTGTCACAACTCAGACGCTTTCAAATTTAAAGAAATATTAAACAATACCTTTTTTCAAAGAAAAAAAAAGTGTTATCAATTTCTTCCATTAATAAGACTGTGGCTTTGGTCAATTTCATTAACAGTATTATTGAACATGAAATATTGAAAGAATCCATGTAATAGTTTGATTCATAGGAACTTTTACAGAACTTGGGATTTTAAAGCCATAAAAATGGATCCATTTTTTCATGGATAATAAATGTTTATGTTATGTAGGCTCTGATCCCACAAAGGCTTAGTTATGTGAATGGCCCCATTGAAGTCAACTTGCAAATGGCTAAGCTAAATGTGTCCATATATGCTTGCAGGACCTTAGGATACAAATTCATTCTTCGATGAACCATTAGAATATCATGGACTCGAGACATTCTCACAGTTGCCACCTCTTGGTATTGAGTGGCCATCAGAATGGTCCTTTGTAACAGCCATTTCTTTGTGAAATTTGTTTTGTGCACCTGCAAGAAGCTTTTAATGATTCTTCTCCAGATCCTCTATAGTCTAAGAACTGCCCATACAGATGTTTAACTTGTGTAATGTTCAGCTATTCCTGCTTGTTGGAAAAATCTTCTGTTGCCGTCAAGAAAGGGGTCCTAACATCATAGAATCATAGGACTGGAAGGAACCTCAAGACGTCATCTAGTCCAGTCCCCCACACTCAAAGCAGGACTAAATATTATCTAGACCATCCCTTACAGGTGTTTGTCTAACCTGCTCTTAAACATCCCCAATGATGGAGATTCCACAACCTCCCTAGTCAATTTGTTCCAGTGCTTAACTGTACTGACAGTTAAGAATTTTTTCCTGGGTCCAACCTAAACTGCCCCTTGCTGAAATTTAAGCCCATTGCTTCTTGTCCTATCCTCAGAGGTTAAGGAGAACAATTTTTCTCCCTCTTCCTTGTAACAACCTTTTATGTACTTGAAAATTATCATGTCCCCTCTGTCTTCTCTTCTCCAGACTAAACAAACCCAATTTTTTCAATCTTCCCTCATAGGTCACATTTTCCAGACCTTTTTTGTTGTTCTTCTCTTTCTTCAGTTTGTCCACATCTTGCCTGAAATGTGGCGCCGAGAACTGGACACAATACTCCAGTTGAGGCCTAATCAGCATGGAGTAGAGTGGAAGAATTATTTCTCATGTCTTGCTTACAACACTCCTGCTAATACATCCCAGAAGGATGTTTTCATTTTTTTTTTTTGCAATAGTGTTACACTGTTGATTCATACTTAACTTGTGATCTACTATGACCCCCAGATCCATTTCTGCAGTACTTCAACATAGTCGAAAGCCCATTGAAATCAACTGAAAGATTCCCATTATTTCAATGGGATTTGGATCAGGCCCCATACTAGCTAAGTTGTCTACCTGTTCTCTTTCTGCATCCAAATTGGCAACTGCTGGGAATACTGCTGGTTGTACCATTGTTCTCAAGGTGTTTTCCCTTTTTGGGGAGTGGGGAGGGAAATCTGTCAGGATGCTTATGTAAGGGGACTGTTGTCCCCTTACTAAAACTCAGTGCGGGGGTTTTGGTTGCTAGCTCCCAGTACCAAAAGAAAGGGGAAGAGTTGATGGGAAATCAGGAACCTGAGACTGACAGTCCCCAGGAACAATGGGGAGAGGCCAGTGCTCCCGGTCAGCCTGATTGACAGGGCTGGCAGGCTAATCAGGAGGCCAGCGTGGGTCCCATCCTCCATATGAGTGGAATTGCCTCACTCAGACAGAGTTAAGGAGCTAAGGAGAAAGCAGGGGCCCAAGATGAGCTGGGGAGCAGAGCCAGGCCAGATCCAGAGGGGCCAGAAAATCAGCCCAGGAAGCAGGTCAGAGTTGGGAGCAGAGTCACAGAAGCAGCCCAGGGAGAGAGCAGCCCCTGTGCTGGGAGCAGAGCTGCAGCCATAGAGCCAGAGACACAGCCCATGGAGAGCAGATCCTGTGCTGGGAGCAGAGCTGCCAGGTGCGGTGAGCAACAGGGGCCAGCCAAGGGGGGACCCTGGGCAAAGGGTCCAGCGCAGAAAGACACCACCAGCCAAGGGTCCTTGCAGGCCAGACTGGGAGGGGGATCTTAACCCGATGGGGGGGCTGATGCTGGGAAGAAGGGTCCCACCACCCAAAGCCCGGAGGTGTGTGGCCACCACCATTGGAAGTGTCCAACCCACAGCATCCCTGCAGCACAGCCAGGGCCTGAGAAGAAGGCCTGGGATCTACAAGGAACAGACTGTGAATTGCCCTAACGTTCCAAAGACACTGTTTGTGATGTTCCCTGCTACAGAGCGGGGTGATGTGTTTTCCTTTAACCTTTCCCATTTTTCCTTATTCTTTTTTTAAAATTAATTGTTAATTAAACAACTTGTATTTGCTTTAACTTGTATGTAATGGTCAGTGGGTCAGAGATGTGCCCAGTGGAGAGAGAGTACCCCGGAGTGGGGACACCCTAACCCCTGTCCTAGGTGACCGCAGCAGGGTTGGGGGTCGAGCCCCCCAGGAATCCTGGGCCCAGCCTTGTTGGGGTTACAAGGACTCTGCCAGACAGGAGAGTGGAAGGGGAGTCCTCAAGGGCAGGGAAGTCACTGGGTAAAGGAAGTGGGAGCGAGGACTTCGATCCTTTCGCTAGCCCACTTCACCGGGGTATTGCAGAAGCCAGGAAAGTTCCCCACAATAGCGGGACTATTCCCCTGTTTACACTTAGTACCATGGTCAGCTGTCCAGTTTTATGGACTGAGGATCATACCAGATGCCCTGGTTTTTGTACCTCAAAGGTGGCAATCCTAAAATTAGGGCAGCGTGACCAGCAGTCAGACCAGGGATAATTCCCACGGCCTCCAAAGCCCTTGTTGCTGGGTGGAAGGCATGGGTGGGGCTGGCCTCATGACCTCAGCCTCACCGATTTATTGTGGGGGCGGCGGGCGCCAGCCTATCTGCTTCCTAAAGCGAGACAATAAGCCAGTGTTTACTTCGCTGCTTCCTCGGGCGAGCTCGGAGTTCAGGGAGGTACCGCGGTTTGGCTCTGGACTCCACCGGAGCAGGGCAGGTTCCGCTCCGGCCTGAAGGAAGTTCGTAAGCAGCTGCACCTAGGAGGTGCGAGCTGGGGAGCAGCCGATCGCGCGCGGCGGCGGCGGGAGCGCCGGGGAGCTGAGCCCGTCGAGGTCGGGCAGCATGGAGCGTTGCGGAGCTCCGGTGAGACCCCCACCCCCTCCCCGCGCCGGGCTCCGGGCTGGCTGCGAGTCTCCGCTGGTCAGCGCGGGGCTGGGGCAGGGCCGATCGCTAGCGCTCTGAATCCCCTGCCGGGCTGAGCCCTCGCGGGCGGGGATCCGGGGCGCAGCGCGTGCGGTGACCACGGCCGAGAGAAGTAGCTGCGAAGCAAAACCTGGTCTCTGGTCCGCTGCCCTTCCCCCAGCCCTTGCGTTCCCGGGCTGTGACTTTCCAGGAGGAGCGTCTCCCTCCCTAGCGGGGAATAGCTGCTCCTGGCTCGAAGGTGGGTAAGCTGTAACCTCGCACCGGGTCCTGCTGAGGCCATGGCAGCCTCCGAGTGGAGTAGTTAGGGGAGAAATAAATCATCTCAGAGGGGGGAGGGAATTGAGCCATGATTCCAAGGGCTAGTTAGGCACTTGAAAACTCTAGTTTTTTGCCAGATAATTTAGCAATTCGCTGACAGGAACACTGCATCTAATTCCTATACAAAAAAAGAAAATTAAATGAATATTAGACCCACTCAGCTCTAATTCTAACATGTTCTGACATCTTGTGGCAAGTCACTGAAGGGACACGGTTAGATTTAATAATTTTGTTAAGAAGATGTTGAAGTAAAAAGAAAACGGGACAGAGTTTAAGCATAGAAGTTTCTGGTTATCAGGGAATAAGGTACAGATTATCAAGGGGTGTGAAATTCGGTTTAGGAGCGGGTGGCGTAAGGGATACATAATCTGCAATCTCCCCGATTGGGGGTAAAAGGAGTGGGGCTTGCAGCTTCACAGGACGTGGGGCAGGGTCTTGTTGGAGTAGCTGCACTTCCTGCAACACTTGTCTCGGTTCCCGTGGCGGACGGCTCCATTGAGCAGTTGAGCTGAGCACGGCGGATGAACCGCCAGTTGGCGAAACGGGTGAAGCTGCCCCCGGCAAGGAAGTGGCTGCTGGCGTCCCACTTGCTGCTCAGTTCGAAGGTTTTACCCTGGTCCAGTTTACGCTTCAGGGTTTCCATGTACAGTCAGTGGATGGCTGCCTTCAGGGTCCTCTCCAGCATGCCCCTGGCGCTCGGAGTGACAATGGTGTTGTCGTTGGACCTGATCTGTGGCACAAGGACTCCTGGCACTCCTCGCACCACTCCCAGCGGCAGCCGATGCACTTCCCCAGGCAATGCGTGGCATTGCGAGTGCGGGACCACAGTGAAGCGATGTCGCACCCGTCCCGTCCGAATTCGCCATCCAGGGAACCGCTCAGGAAGGTGGCGATGTCTTGGTTGGAGAGGGCTCTGCCGATACGCTTCTTTGTCGCGTCATGGGGGCGTTTGCTGCGATGTTCCTTACCATGGCGTCAGGACGTGTCAGCAGGCGGAAGGTGTGGGTGATCACCGCGATGTCACACAGGTCGCCCATGCAGGGGACATTGGCACTGCCTGTGGGCGATGTGGACCAGCTTGGCTCTCTGGGGAAGGAACGGCCACTTCTTCACCAGCTGCCGGACGATCTTGTCTGCCTTGTTGAGGGGTACCTTCGCCACAGCGGATCCCCTTAGGATGAACGAGATGCGGGGGATCAGGAAGGTGTTCAGGGCGTTTATCTTCTGCCACGGTGCTAGCAGGGAGGCATCGATCTTGGTGGCATCCTGCAAGATCTGGATGGTGTCCTCGGGTGTCTGCCGGACACAGAAACCCGTTGGCATGCCGAGGTGCTGGTACGTCTGCCCCTCTGCCAGGGGCATGACGGGCTCGCCCTGGATCTGGAACCCCGTCGTCTGCACCGAGTCCCTTTTGCTGCCGTCGATGTGGAGAGTTGCGCACTTCTTTGCATTGAAGCGGAGCCCCGTCCAATCGGCAGCTCGACTGGTGGCGTCTAGCAAACCTTGGAGGTTCTCTGGGTCATCCATGGTCAGGACCAGGTCGTCTGCGTAAGCCAGGATGCTCACCCTCTCACCATGGAGGTTGAAGCCATCTGTGCCATTGGAGATCGCTCGCAGCAACGGTTCCATGGTGAGGTTAAAGGTGATGGGGCTGAGGGGACAGCCCTGCTTAACTCCACTCCGGATCGGGATCTCGGTGGTCTCCCCTTCGACCGAACGAATGACGGTGCTGCCTCCCTTGTACACCTCTCTGATCACACGAAGGAAGTTCTCTGGCATCCCAAACTCCTGGAGCGTGGCAAAGATGTGGTGGTGGGGCATGGACCCAAAGGCGTTAGCCAGGTCACTCCCTTCTGGCCATTTCGATGGTGGTTTGGAGGACGAAGTTGTGTTTGTAGCAGCCCTCACAGGACATGAAGCCTTTCTGGATGGAGCTGATGGCTCCCCCGCTCACCGACCACTCTGTGATCCTCGACGCCAGGCAGCTGGCATAGAGCTTGTACATTGGGGAGCAGAAGGAGATGGGCCTCCAGTTGCCGGGGTCATCTTGCTCAGCCTTCTTGTACACCAGCGCCATCATGGCCTTCTTCCAGGAGCTGGGAGTCCGGCAGAATTGCTTGCATTGGTTGAAGAGCGTGGCGAGGACCAGGCAGCTGGGATCTCTCTTTTTCAGGAGGCTGTAGGGATATACGTTAACATTTTAAACCTTACTTTGTTACTAACTCTGTGGAGAGAGAGAGACCTCATCAGGACTCCTGGGTTCGATCTCAGCTCTGGGAGGGGGGTGGAATCTGGTGGGTTACAGCAGGGGGCAGATACATCTGGGTTTTATATAAGAACATCAGAATGGCCATACTGGGTAAGATCAATGGTCCATCTACCCCAGTATCCTGTTTTCCAACCATGGCCAATACCAGATGCTTCAGAGGGAATGAACAGAACAGGGAATCCTCATGTGATCCATCCCCTGTCACCCACTCCCAGCTTCCGGCAAACAGAGGTTAGGTACATGCAGAACATGGTGTTGAATCCCTGCCCACCCTGCCTAATATAGCCATTGATGGATCTATTCTCCATGAACTTATCTAGTTCTTATTGGAACCCTGTTATAGTTTTGGCCTTCACAACATCCTCTGGCAAAGAGTTCCACAGGTTGACTGTGAAGAAATACTTTCTTTTGTTTGTTTTAAATCTGCTGTCTATTAATTTCATTGGGTGACCCCTTCTCCCCCCCCCCCCCAGTTCTTGTGTTATGTGAAGGAATAAATAACACTTCCTTATTCAATTTTTCCACACCAGTCATGATTTTATGGACCTCCATCATATACCCCCTTAGTCATCTCTTGTCCAAGCTGAAAAGTCCCAGTTTTTTTAATCTGTCCTCATACGGAAGCTGTTCCATACCCCTAATAATTTCTGCTGCCCTTCTCTGTACATTTTCCAATTCAATCTATCTTTTTTGAGATGGGGCAACCAAATCTGCACTCAATATTCAAGATGTGGGCATACCATGGATTTATATAGAGGCAATATGATATTTTCTGTCAAATTATCTATCCCTTTCCTACTGATTCCCAGTATTCTGTTAGCTTTTTTGACTGCCACTTCACATTGAGCAGATGTTTTCAGAGAACTATCCACAATGACTCCCAAATCTCTTTCTTGATGGGTAACAGCTAATTTAGACTCCATTATTTTGTATGTATAGTTGGGATTATGTTTTGCCATGTGCATTATTTTGCATTTATCAACATTGAATTTCACCTGCCATTGTGCTGCCCAGTCACCCAGTTTTGTGAGGTTTCTTTGTAACTTTTTACAATCAGTTTTGGATTTAACTATCTTGAGTAATTTTGTATCCTCTCCAAATTTTGCCACCTCACTGTTTACCCCTTTCTCCAGATCACTTATGAATATGTTGAATAGGACTGGTCCCAGTACAGACCCTTGGGGGACACCACTATTTACCTCTCTCCATTCTCACCATTTATTTCTACCCTTTGTTTCCTATCTTTTAACTGCAGTGCCTGGCAATGCTTTCAGGATCATCTAAGGATCCTAATTTAATTTAATAAGACCTTTTGTTATCTTAATCACCCTGCCTCTGTTTAAAGTCCATGCCCCAAAGTCTGAGGCTGGGAACAGCACAGAACTCCTCTCAGATCACACCAGAAATAAAACAAGTTTCAGAATGGAATGGCATCTTCGGCATCCTGCAGGTTGGGTGGGTGCCAATTACAGAGCAAATAAATCATGCAGTGTGCTTTGAAAATGAGTTCTGCTAGCGGCCACTCTTCACCTGTGCAGGCATGTCTTGAAGTTATAATAATTACAACATCATCTTACTGTCTTCCCATTTTTTTTCCCCCAAAATACTTCTTTGTGGAACTTTAGGGCCAGATCCTGCATGTGTAGCTGGCATTTCCTGCACGCATAAAGTTAAGCATGTAAATAAGTGCTTGCCGGATTTAGTAAAACTGCAACCCTTGTACCCACACTTCATATTTAAGAATGGCTGCAAACATTTAAGCACTTTTACTTATGTGAGTAAAATTAACTATGTATTTATGTATTCAGGTGTTTGCAGGATTTGGCCCAAAGGTTAAAAAGTGAAGTGCTTTGAAAGCAGGAAATGAGTGTTGCAAGCTTTTTTAAAAAGTGGATGGTACAAAACTTCAGGCATATTTATTTGTGCTGCAATCAAAGTTTTTTTTGTGACTATTTCAGGACAGAGTTTTGCCCTTAAAGTCTGTCTATTTGTATCAGTGAGTCACATGGTTAGGTTTCTAACTGTGTGTGAGCCATGTGAATGTAAGGTGCAAAGAAATGCATTTGCACACACATACTCAAAATGGTAGGCTCAGTGTGGTCTCTGCAATCAGCCTGAGGCCTGGCTAAAATTCCTGGTTTTAAAGAGAAAAATAAACTGTTGTGCAAGCATTAAAATAAATAAGAAATTACACTTTGCATAATATGGTGTTTTAAATGTGCAAACAGTCTGTCATTGTGTTATGGAGAGATGTCCTCTCTCTGTGGTTAAGGTGGGCATTAGATTCCTGTTATAAGAAAAGTCTTTATGTGCATGCATACTTCCCTAGCCTAATTTCTCCAAAATCAAACTGGTCCATTGGAAATGTCACATGCCACATCTTAGTCCATGGTAGAACTTACTTTTTTAAAGCTCAGGGCAAATTTTACTCGTTAGTCTGAAGAGACGGGGTGCAAAATCACGGTGGCGCTTCTGTCTCTCTTCCTTGCCTCAGACAATAATCCAAAGCATCTTGGCCTAGCCATGCCAAATGTGAGCCATCCTGATGGGCCTGGAAATTAGTTCTCTTTGATTAGTTTTGAGGGAGGGATGTAGAGTGAAAGATTATTTAGACCTTAATCATAGAGTTTAAGGCAAGGGTTGCCGAACTTTTTGCCAACATGACCCCATTTTAATTAATTATTTCCTCCCAGGAGCACAGACATCATGGAGGATGCCATTTTGTAAAGCAAAATCGCATCTTCCGTGCATCGTGGCCTCGCACGCACTGTACGTGAGCGATCATGCTGCGTAGTATCCTCTGCCCAGCCGCAACCCCATTTGCTGGTGCTATGACCCCATGTAGGGTTGTGACCCACAGTTCGGGAAACATTGGTTTAAGGCCAGAAGGGGTCACCAACACCACCCGCCTCATTGATACTATCCCTTATTAAACCCAACAGTGGTAATTAGACCAAGGAACACTCAGCTATTGTGTGCCATAGGTAGAGGAGAGGAGGGACCAAAGTGCACCAATCCTGCAATGAACCCCACTGGGATCAACCCGCTTAACTTTACATGCTGCAAGTGCTCCTATTTGCTTCAGTGGGATTACTCCATTCATATAGCTAAGCACATGCCTAACTGTCTTTGCAGGATTGTGGGTTTAGATATAATGCCATTTTCACCTTAGTTTGTAAGTTTGCCTAGCCAATGAATTTGTGTATGCACAAGTATTATACATATTATAGCTATCATTTTGACATACTGCATTCACACACTACTCTGACAATGACATTATAGAAGGGCTTTGCAGACTTTTGGAGTTTTCTGTTTTCATGGAGCTAGTAGTTTGTCTTAATCTTCAGGCAGCACTGTGTAAATATCTGGTTCTACATACAAGCCTTTAAATATTTTACTAATTTTTCACGAAAACAACTTTGTCTCTTCCTCATAGCTGCTGGTTTGTTTTCTCCTCATGGTGTTGATCTGGGTCCATGAAATTCCAGCAGTAAACTTCACACACGTTACAGGTAAAAACTAATTCAAGCTATCCGCATGCACGCAGACAAGAATACGTAGCAGTGCTTGAAAACTACTGCAAAATGCCACATCACAGTTCTTGTTCATTGTAGTGTTCGGGTTAAGAATATAAGCACCACGGTCAGGAAATTCTAAAAGATAAGGCCCTAAATCTCCAAAATCAACTAATATTTTTAAGTGTCTCTGACCTTGGGTGCTTGGCCAGCACCCAAAATCACTAGTAACTTGAAAATGTAGGTCATGGTTCCCACAGCAATGCTGAAGGGATCCTTTTGCAGATGGCAGGTCAAATTCTGCTCTCAGATACGAACAACCATGGTTTATTTTAGTGAAGCCAATGGGGGGGTTGCAGAGATGTAGCTGAAGGCAGAATGGGGGCCCATGTGGTTGTAGTTCATTATTGCCCAATGCTGTTTAATGGATATGTATCATGTTTGTGTAATGTGGCTGAGTTCCATGGTTATGGACATTGTAACAATGGAATTTCCTGACTTTTAGGGAAGGTATTTAAAAAAGAGAAAATCCTTCGTGTTAATGCATTTGCACTGCACTGTCCAGGAAGGTATCCAAATAACCGTGTGCTGAGAATCAGTTCAATAATGCACCTCAACTGATAAACTATGTGCAGCCAGATGCCGATTTACATCAGCTGAGCCTCTGGGCCATACATCCAATAGTATTACGGACACCTCTCAAGCTAAGGGAGTGTCTACACTTACTAATCCTCCTTGTCGCCTGTAAGGGGGGCACAAAGCACACATTCCAGACCCCCCCCTTTTTTTTTTTTTTTTGGGAGAGCACTTACCCAAGCAGTAACTAGCACTAGGCCTTTTAAAACCAAAGAAAGACACTTCTGTCGAGTGCACCCATTTTTCAAGTATCTTCTAATGATGACTTGCATGACACTCTTTTTTATCCTGGTTTCTTCATCAGAAAAAATGGAATGATTCAGAAGAAGGAACTTTGGATTTTCCTGGCCCCTATGTGAGTTTCTTCATATGAATGGGATCTAGCCATGTATAACTTAATTCTCTCCCCCACCCCCCAAAAGAAAATCAAAATGGTTGGATTTAAAATAATATTTCAGATTTTTTTGATTTACCATATATTTTGAAAAATGTTGTGTTTGGCTTAAACCAAAATGAATTTTTATTTCCTGATTGCCAGTGATTCAAAAAAACCCAACCTGTTGCTCACAGAGCTCCAGTTCACTCTAGTCTTGGCATGACTCACAGTGCAACTGAGCTGGGGACACTTTCTGTGGTCAGAGCTGTTAGATCCCCAGCTTTCGCCACATGAAGGATCATGCAGAACAATAATTAACCTGAAATATCCTGTGTTCTTGTCTTTTAGCACGGACTCTTTCTCCATGTTACTCTGCTAATCTTACACCAACATCAAACAGGCTAATCTCTGCTGTAGGCTGCACTGTGGTGTTCTCTCCACCAGGCCTGAATTTTAGCACTGGGATTGTACGCTGGGATTATAAAAATGTCTCCTCCACAGTTCTGTCCATCTTAGTATATTTTAAGGACCAATCAAAAGTTGATTTGCATCCTTCATATAACGGGAACGTTGAGTTCAGCAAAACCAATTGGACTCTCCAAATAAAATTGCAGTTGGGAGATGGAGGACTGTACAGATTTAGAACAAGCTCCCACGAAACTAATTGGTTCCAGCTCGAGGTTATTGGTAAGTGCCACATCCAATGGTCTTGATAACTTTCTCCACTTCTATACTAATTCTTATTCAACCCTTGAATTAGATAAGAATGCACAACATAGCCCATGGAAAAAGCATCAGTACAGCTCTGTAACTCTACATTCCACTTGCCCATGGTGCACCTATAGACATGCACAGTTCCGTAGCAATCAGGAAGTGTCCTATAGGTGGAGCATGAATGGGAAGTTACCCTTCTGATTATGATGGGGAATTTCCCTCCAAACAGGACTCAGCACCATGACTTGTCTTGTTGCACAATGGCTTATTTCATAATGCTCTACGCCGATCAGATTTAGCTTTAGAGACAGGAGTTTTTTTGTTTGCACTGCTAAGCTTTTGATTTAAAAATTTTTTTTTTTAATAAATATTGAAGGGTTTTTTATTTCCTGAAACTTTGCAAAACTGGGCAAGCATAGCACAGTTTAAAAACAAAGTGGTGTTGTGATTTGGGGGTGGAATTTTTGGTAGAAATGTTGCACTAATTTTTAATGACATGAGAGACAAGTACTTTTTTAATTCTCCCTTGGTTTTTGAAGCTGAGTGGTACTGCATAAAGCTACTCTGCTTCCTTCCTGCAAATACAGAAGTAATTTATTTTTACAGGTGCATAAATCTGCTTTGGTTGGAAACTAGGAGTGAGATTATAAATTCTTTGTCAGGAACAGTCTTTTAGTTCTGTGTTTGTACAGTGCCTGGCCCAGTGCACACCCCCTCCGCCCCCCCCCCCCGTTCCAGTGCCCCTGGTTAAAACGCACTAGGGGACATTACAAAGAGAGCACTCATTACAGTATGTAGAGAGACCAACTCCCACCCCCCCAATTTTATATAAAACTCAAATTGCTAAAAACACTCACCACCCCCAGTGAAATTAATAAACCCTTAAAAACAAAGGCCTTATTTGGAAATGTTAATGTTTCCTCTTGCCCAGAGCCCTTGTCTCAGCCAGAGCTCCAGAGCAACTCTTCCTTGGTGGGCTCCACCACCGAATTTGTCTGTAAGGTGCCAGTAGGAAAAGTTGATTCCTATCAGTGGAAGAAGGATGGCAAGCATCTCCCTGAAGACAGTCGCTTCCTGCTCTTTCAGAATGACAGCATGTTACGTATACTGAACACAACACTGTCTGACAATGGGGTGTACACCTGCGAAGTCAGCAATCAAGTCAGCTGGAATGAAACCTCCCTGAAACTAGACATCCAGAGTAAGTGGGCATTTAATTTTAATGCAAGAAACAGAATTGCCAATCAAATCAAATTCCAGTAACAAATGACCCCAATGGTATTTCTGGGTGAGAGGAGGAGGAGGAAAATGATCAGAGGTTGTTGAATAACACTTGGTTACATTTTCAAGAAGATTGATAGATTCCAGGCCAGAAGGGACCATTGTGATCATCTAGTCTGACCTCCTGTGTAATACAGGCCAGGGAACTTCCCGCACAACAATTCCTAGAGCAGATCTTTCAGAAAAACATCCAGTCTTGATTTAAAGATTGTCAGTGATGGAGAATCCACCACGGCTTTTGGTATAGTGTTCCAGTGGTTAATTACTCTCTCACCATTAAAAATTTACACCTTTATGTCCAGTCTGAATTTGTCTAGCTTCAACTTCCAGCCATTGCATTGTGGATATGTTGGAGCTGTGCACTAGTGCTGGTTGAAAACTTACCATCAACTCTTTTTAGGCTAAATGAAAATTTTTGCTTGAAAATTTTTAATTCCCCCCCAACCCCCACAAGACAACCTGAAAAGTTTTGAGGGTGTGTGTGTGTGTGTGTGTGCGCGTATGTGCACATGTGTGTTGTTTTGAGGAAAAGTCAAAATTTTCTGCAGGATTTTTTTCCACCAATCAGCTCTACTGTTCATTGCACATACATGTAATTCAGTGCTTCAGAGCATAACACTTATTATGGTCCTAAATATGGTCCTGAATTATCAAAACACTCAGCAAAGCACTTAAGCACGTACCTAACTTTAAGCATTTGAGTAGTCTGACAATGGGATTACTCGCATTTTGAAGATAAGCACATGCCTAAGTGCCTCTTTTATTTTAAGTGGGTTATCTTCACTTGTGGACATTAAAGATGTAGATGCACCCTGAAATAATCTAACACCTAAACCAAGTATCTGTGCTTAGGTGATATATTTGCACTCAGAAGTAATGAGGATGTATTTAAATAAGCCTGAACCATCCTGTCCAAATCTAAATATACCCAGAATCTGAGAGAACTTGAGACCCATCCCAGACTTTGTGCTTGAGGCTTTTGTCTGATTAAACCACTTTGTAATACTTTGTTCATGGTTTCTTACTAATCAAATTACTACAGGATTTAGGTGCCTAAATTTAACTCTTGGCACCCACATTTGGAAAAAAAATAACAAAAAAACCACCCCCAAGTGTTTTGGTGCATTACTTGGCTTATTTTATTTCTTGAATGATTTGGCCATGTGTGGGTTTTTGGGAGTGGGTGGGAGGAGTCATAATTAAGCCTGGGTGTCTCAAGTTCTGGTTTTTGTATGTTTTATGGCTATTGAACTTTCACTGTAGGGTCTCGATGAAATAATCAGTTCATAACATATACACAGCTTTTCTCCTCCATGTACGTTAATTCCCAGATCAAGCTGGGGTTTCAGATCTGGGATGTTTTTCTGGGAATGACAAGCCAAAAGGCTGGAGAGGGACAAGCACATGCTTATTGAACATTTAATATTGAAATCTCTAAGAGTCAGGTCGCAAAGATTTGCTCGGGGGTGGGGGCTGGAGGTAGGGAAGAAGATACTTGCTACTGGCCATGTCCCAAATGAGGCTGATCTTGCAATATATTTTTCACAGATCCTTCAAATGTGGTTGTGGGAGTCGTTGTGGTGATTGTCGTTTTTGTACTAGGTAAGTAATGTTTTTTCTTTTTTTGTGGCTCCCTCTTTGCGATTGTGCCACTGGCAGTTCACATGGCAGATCAATTCCGGGAGGCTTGCCAAATAGAGATGGGATAAGTGATCCAGAAATAAATGCAAGTCGTCTTTACACTGCCAAATCTCACACACAGAAACATGGCTGTCACAGTTGCACGTATCAGTTTCTGATTGTTACATATTCGTACATGTTGAGGCTTAAGGCCAAACCCGGGCACCAGCTGAAGTTGACGGTACTTTGCCACTGACTCTACTTATGACCATATCTTTGCAGCAAAAGCAGTGATGATCTTTGAGGGCTAGATAGTGCCTAACCCCTGTCATGGGGGTGTGTGGGCAGGGCACCAGCTGCCTCCCCTCACCATCACTTGCACTCCCTGAATAATGGACAGGTACAGCTGCAGCCCCTGTGTCTGGGGAAGCTGCAGCAGCCACATAGAAGAGCTGGGTGGAGGGTCTCTAGGAAAAAAACCCTGGACTCTCTGATCCCCTCTGTTCATCCTCTGAAGGAGGGCTGTTGTGTGCCCACATTGGCTGGCCCAGTCTCTCCCCCTCCCATTGTGGATGCTGGACGCACGGAGAGGCTTCTGTGAGTCAGAGCTGAGGGTGGGCGGTATCACACAGTAGGTCCTCTGTGTGCCCAGATCAGGGAGAGAGAATTTGGGGTCATGGGACCTAATCCGGCAATCTTTACTTGTGGGCCTTCATTGGGAGTTTTGCCAAGGAGTTAGCAGGGGTGAGTACTGCAGAATGTGTCCAATGGGATTTAATTGAAGCGGAAACCGCCTCAGTACCGTGCATCTTGCCTATGCACATTCCCAGCTGTTATGTTTTCCATGCCCCAAACCAGAGACCACGAGGGAACTCTCTAGAGCCACCCACGGTATGCTGTCTTATGCAAGAGCAGCCACGTTGAAGTGGAGCTGCTTTCCCAGATGGAAGGCCTGACAGCAGATTGTGGTATTACCAGCCCCAAGAGTTCAAAACCTGAGAGTCAGGACCAAAATATAAAGAGTTTTAAACAATAATAAATGTGAATGAGGGGTTCTTTTGATTATTATTGTTTTTAATTTCTTGTTATGAGCCTTAGTTTTGTATCCTGTTTTCTGGCTTTTCTCTGTAACCAGAGGCATAGAAACGTGTGTGTGTGTGTGAGAGAGAGAGATGAAAGCTGAGATTCTCAGCTCCAGAAGCTGGGCTCTAAGGAAAACAATAATATCATAAGAGTGACCATGAAATCACAAGAGCTGGCAACTCTGGGACTGTCAGGGAGACTGCTAGCATTTTCTGTCACCTGCGCTTTCAATGCTAACCATTGCTTTAATCCACAGAGCCCTGCTGCCACTTGTTTGCCCTCTCTGTGGTGCTGTGCTCAGAGCTGCTGTGTGGCATGGGGAGTGTCCATGTGCACTTTCTCAGCTGCTGGCTCTCTACGCATCAGGGCTGTAGTATTTCTACTGAGTTTTGAGCCTTAAAAAGGCTTGCAGGTCCAGTCAGGAGGTGGCTGCTGCAAAGTGATGGGAAAGTTTCACCATTGACATGTTCATGAGGGAAAACAAGACACACAACAAATCAATCAAATCCCCTTTTTTGCAAGTTTAAGCGAGTGATTGCTTTTAACTCCTTTACTTATATAGTTTCTCCGCTTTCCACACTCACCACTTCAAATTTCAACAGAAAGAGGAACCTGGGGTTTTCTAGGCTGTGCTGACCTGAAGTATCAAGTGTCAACTTTCAGGAAAATTACAACTACTTTTGTTTTGGTTTTTTAGTTGCTGTTTTATATGTTTCAAGGAAACATCTCAGGTGTCCAACACAGTGTTTCTGTGGAGACTCTGGTAAGCTGTATTTAAATATCCTAAAATAATCCCTTTGCTTGCTTTGGGGGCTTGTGTTTTTTGGTAACTCCATTTTGTGTGTGTGTGTGTGTGTGTGTTTTTCCCCCTTATTATTAAATCAGATGTTCTTCCAAGGAAAACTGTCCATTTGGAATCTACTACATCCCAAAAGATGAGTTCAAAGTGCCTACTTTTGCTCTCAGTCCCCTGCCAATCTTCTTCTTTTCTTTTACAATCACATTTTCCTCTGTGTGTGTGTGTGTGTGTGTGCGTGTATATATTTTCTTTTCCTCACCTGTTCCTTTGTGACATACCGACACCAATGACCAGAAGTGCAAACTGCTGACTATACAGGAAAAGGGTGAAACTGGCTAGATGAAGAGTTTTGACAGTTACACAAAGAAAACACACTGGAAACAGAGAAATGATTTTGCTATGACTTTTTAATCGTTACTTTGACAATAGTACGTTTAGAAAAAAAACAACTTCCCCAACCACAACTTCCAGCAGAGTGTGATCTCTCTCTCTCTCTCTCTCTCTCTAAGTTGATGGTGTGCCTTCCATTTTTTTTTTCTTAATGGGGATGAGGGATTGGAAAGGAAAGCTGCTGCACAGCATAACTTTTGGCCTGATGGAGAGACATTTATAAGAATCAGAAAATATTTGGTGGGTTGATATTGGGATGCCTGCACGGAAACAAAGGGTCATTGTTACAAGAGACTTCCAAGCCTGCCAAAGTATTCCAACAAATGAGTGGCTCGATTTTAGCTTCTTAACGCCATTTGGGGTTTTTCTACATGGGGAAATTGACCAGAATAACTATAGTAGAATAAACCATTTTGGAATAACTCCCTGTGTGGACACTCTTATTCAGGAATTCCTGAATTTAAATTAATCCACTTTTGGATTAAGCTAACCCAGAAAAAGGCATTCTTACTCTGGAATAAGAGCATCCACACAGGGAGTTATTCCAGGATAGCTCTAGTACTCTAAACTCAAACTGTGCCTTATTCTGGAATAATTTCCTGGTATAGACAAGCCCTTTGTTACGTGTGCTGTGTGGCTCAGAGGAGTTTGCTGCTCCTGGATAAATACATCCACTGTTTGGTCATGGTTGAGAAATTTTCATAATGGGGAAAAATGATTGAAATCTCGCTACAAAATCTGCTGGTGGTCTGTATTGGCATGGGAGACGGAGGGAAAGGGCCTGGTTCTCCACTGCCGGGAACTTTCTGCCAGCATGTAAACCTGTGCCAAGTGGATGTTAAATGAGTGGTGGTATTGGATGCACACAAGCCTCAAACATTGGGGGAATGTGGATGGAGGGCATGGAAAGAAGTGGGATTGAGGGAAACACAGAGCTGCTTGGCATGCAGGAGGAGGAGGGAATGGGGGGCATAGAACCCCTGGCAGGGGGGAAATTGCGGGGAGTGACAGAGAGTCCCTGAAATGGAGGGGGATGGGAGTGTGGCACGCAGGGGACTTGTGCAGGTGGAATGGAGGTGGGCCTATATAAACTGAGAAGTGTAAGCCCCTAGTATTCTCTCCACTTTGCACAGGTGCAACTGGTTGCACAAGGTGTGAGTGTAACGCTGACAGACCCCGGCCGTCGGCAGGCAGGATCAAAAATGGGAGTTCTGAAGCTCAGCGTAGGAGCCTCCGCTGCGTGAGGTAAAAGCCATGCGGCTCTCAGCCAAAGCTGTAACAGTCTCATCAGTCGCTAGCTGGGCTGGGTGCCACTAGAGGGGGAGAGAGCACCACTCCAAGCAGGCATGGGTTCCACGAGATGAGGGAGAATCGGCCTCTCTGGCTTTTGTAACAGGGCTGTGCTAGCTGTGAAGTGAGGCTGAGGGGGAGATGGGCACTGCTGTGCCGAGACCTGGTCTCTCCAGGGCCCAAGGTAACAAGAGTCCAACACAGCCGGTTCCGTGCAGCTGTTGGCAGCAGAAGTTAAAGACAAACAGACTGGGACCAGCTGGATTGTTTTTTAACCTAAACAACAAAGAAACAAAACCTGTGAAGGGGCTGCAGGTCTTCTGGTGAAGTCATGGTCTGGCTTGACAATGAGCTGAAATAGTGCAGACATGTTTATCATAGAAATTGACCAAACAGTTTATTTTTCAATTGGTTTATTTTAAAGCTCTTAGACACTGTTTGTCTGGCGGTCGCTCAAGTGGACCAGGGGGACACGTGGACTGTAAGGAGCAAACATCACCATCTTCTGGGACCCCAGAAACCACTGCGGCACTCTTGGACCTTAATCCTCTTGATTCTGAAAGGCCTCCTAACCAGGCTTCAGCTGAGTCCTGAACAACACCTGGGTTCCTGCTGTCACACCCTCTCGTGTCCTTTTTCCTTCCCCCACCTTATTTTGTCACTTTCCTGTCATTCTCCTTTGGGCCATCTGTTTAAGAAGAGTTTGGCTTAGCTGGCCAAGACGGCATTTGTTGCTGTTGTTGCAACACAGCTGTGAGCCCATGACCAGCAGCAGCTAAAAGAAATGCCCTCTACAGCCCAGTGCTGGTACACATTTGCCAAGTCTTGGGGTGCCTAATGAGGGCAGTGCTTGTTTCTGCAGCAGTAAGATTGTGAGTAAAGGTTTGTCTGCACAGTTAGACCCAGTAATTGCCAGCCAGGTTAGCTGAGCCCAGTTGCAAGCCTCCCCACAGCAAAGCCCTACTCATGTGATTGTGTCCTCACTGTTTCTGCACTTGTCTGTGCATGTCTGGGGGCATAGCCCATGGTTCTTTGTGCTGAGACGCTCTAGGACTCTTTCCTGAGCAACTGTGTCAATCGTGGGAGAAGTTGTGTGTCTTTTAGGGGGAGTTGTGGAAAGGCATTGGAGGACTGCCAGCACTCAAGTGATTTTAGCCTGGGTCCTCACTGCAAAGTGTGTGGGTTCCAGCCTGAGTGACACAGGAGACTGGGTTCTAATTAGGGTTGCCAACTTTGGTTGGACAAATTCCTGGAGATTTCATCACATGACATAATCTTTCAAGAAAGATTAATCTTTAATTCCTGGAGACTTCAGGACAACCCTGGAGGGTTGGTACCCCTAGTTCTAATTCACCCCACCCAGCTAGGTCAGCTAGCATGGGCTTAAAGTACCTCCAAACCTGGATCAGAGATTTTTCTTTGTGGATGGTAGGGGATTTGAGCTAAACCCCATGAAGAGCTCAGGTTTCTGTAAGGCAGGGGTTCTCAAACTGGGGGTCGTGACCCCCTTAGAGGGTCGTGAGGTTATTATGCGGGGGGTCACGAGCTGTCAGCCTCCACCCCAAACCCCACTTTGCCTCCAGCATTTATAATAGTGTTAAATATTAAAAAATGTGTTTTTAATTGATAAGAGGGGTTGCACTCAGAGGCTTGCTCTATGAAAGGGGTCATCAATACGTAAGTTGGAGAACCACTGCTATAAAGTGAAGAGATCCCTAAGGGCAGGTCTGTCCTATAAACCTTTGAAGATGCTCTAAACCAATGGGAGAGAGCTCTCCTGTCAGCTTAGTGAGGGCTGGTCTACGCTACAGAGTTAGGTCAATGTAGGGCACCGACGTAAGGCACCCACCAATGTAAGTCGTCCACTACATTGACTTAACTCCATCTTCACAAGAGGCATAGCTCTTTGGTCAGTGTAATTACGGCAACCCAGTGTCCATGTAGACAGTGTGTTACTTACATGGCCTGTTAGCAGCCTGGCGGCTGGCAGTGCCCCACAATGCCCCACTTAAGTTGGTGGAAGTGCTCCTGGTGAGTGTGCACACTGCCGCCAGGAGGAGCATAGCGTGGACCTGAAACACTGCTTTAATTACTGCGGTGGCTGTACGTCGACTTAATTTTGTAATGCAGACGTGGCCGTACTCCACCTGCGGGAGAGGCTCTCCCTTCGATATAGCGCTGCCTACATGGGAGTTTAGGTTGGTATAACTGCGTTGCTCAGGGGTGTGGATTTTCACCCCCCCCCCCCCCCGAATGATGTAGTCATGCCACAGTAAGCGTGTAGTGTGGACCTGGCCTAAGAAATCAAGCACAAGGCTGAAGCTGCATCTTCTCCCTTTGCTCTTCTTTTATTCCTGTCTTCGTGTGCATTTTGTTTTGTCTTCAGGAAAACAGGATCAGACTTTAACAGGAGCATTCTGAACCACCTCAACGACCTTTTTCTCTTCCCCTAAAGGACAATCCATACCACCTTTCATGCTATTTAAACAACTGTCAAACATGGGTTTCTCCCTTGAAAAAGAATTCTACACAGCTAAAGGAAATAAGGGATAGTGTTACAAGGAAAGTGTTAATTAATGCTTTTTATTCCAAATACTGTTTTTCCTTTTTTCTGTGTCTCTAAGGAAAGGTTAAAGAGCTTCTTAGTGGTGGTATTCCAATGAATGTTTAACAGTCAACAAAGGTTTCATTAACATTTTAGCCCTTTTCAACATACCGCCACATACTAAATGAAAATATCTCCTCTTGTTTTTATGTTTCGGATGGATCTTGTATCCTGATAGGCCAGGTGGTCCAAGTGTTTCTCCCATCATGTGACTGGACCCCCATAATAATAAAAACCTCTCTTCCCACTTCTGCTTTCATTCCCCTGCTCTTTGTAGTTCATTTCAGCCCTATTGTAGTATATGTTTTCTGGGTCCAAATCTTCCTTCATAATAATCCAAAGAGCAGATCTTTGTATCATGAATATGCTTGTGCAGTGCCAACTTTTGCTAGTTAATCTTCTACAGTCTGCCAGCCACCACCAGAACAAAGGGCAATGAATAACTCTGTTGTTCTACTAATTGTTACTTGGAGAATACTAGAAGTTTTGCAGATTTTTCTGTAGTTGGCAGGAGGTCAGAAGATATTCGGAATGTTTACTTCTGGCTTTTGAAGCTATAGGAAACTTTCCTTCTGGTAGGTACCAAATCTGAAACTATTTTGGCACTAATTGATCCAGCCTTGCCTTCATGGAGAGCATGAAGTAAATGCCAACAGGAGTGTAATGGAACAGATTGTATTATCAAATGTGCTTCTGCCTTGTGCTGGCCACCTCACCAAGAAGTCCAGCTATGCACTTTATGGTCCTTCAATCAGTTTCACAATAACCTGCTGTTACTGCTCAGTTCATGGCCCAACCATGGCAGTCCTGGTACAGTCAGGGCTTTCTACAGCATGGAGGGGAAGGGTAGGATTTGATCTTTAAAATGTATTGGGAAAAGGCACTGCTACCCTAGTGATATTTACGGCTAATTGAACACCTTTCGAAGAAGGAGAATTTGCAAGAGGAAACCAGTATATTCAGTTTGTTGCTTTCTTTTTTCTATTCGTGAGGATTGAGAGAGCAGTGAAGGGGTTAGCCGAACAAGTCAGTGTCAGAACTGGGAATAGAATGTAGAACTCTGGTTTTCCAACCCCATGCTTCTGTCTTGTCTCTAGACCCCAGCTCTTTCTCTTGGAATCTTTTCTTTGTTCTTTATAGAAAGGATGGTTTAAAATAAAATAGTAACTGAGAAAGAAGTTATGGGTTTTCATCTGAATATACATACCACTGGGGTTGTATCCTCAGTGAAAATGAAACACTGTGCTAATAATTCTACACTACTTTGGGTGCATTTCTATCCTAAGGACACCAGCAGCTGGCCTCACAATGTTTAACTTTGTGCATATGTAAAAGTGGGTTGCATTAAGTATCTAAGAGGGAGCCAGTGGGAGTCCCAGTGATAGTTTTAATCCTCTTGTACTTTTCTGTTACTACAAATATCCACAAGCTAAGGTGCTCAGGCACCTGGTGCTGGTAATTGCATAGGATCCTCAGGACTTATCTCTGTGTTCTTCAATAGCCCAGGTTCTTGTAGAATCTCCACCATACAAGAGAGTATATATTGTTTGCACACTACGTTTGAGGGTTTTACACTGCCACCTGCGGGTTTGTGAACTCTGGCCATATCTTCTCAGGTAGGTGGGGTTTTTTTCCTCCTCCGCACCCAATGAACCTAGTCAAGATTAACCCTCAGTCCCTACACCTGGTAAAAAGTACAGCCCTTTGTCTCTTCCCCCGTCCCCAGATTTTACAGTGAGATGCAGCATCTGAATGTAAAAATACACCTGTTTTTTTCAGTGAAGTCATGTCCTTTCTTTCAGCACTGAACACAATTTAAATGAGTTGCCTTGGGCTTGTGCATCTTTTAACCACTCCTCCATTGCTTTCATGGCTGGCAGCAATCCGTGATGAAACACACATCATCCAGTACCGTATCACTGCATGGGGGACAGCTGCAAGCTGCCAAGATGTTGGAGTTTAAAAAAAAAAATCTCATAAAGAATGAGGGGTTTAGAATCATGGGTATTGATCATTCACTTCTCTGGGGAAAAAAAATTACATCACCTGAATTCCCTTTTCTATTCCAGGATTATTCATGTTTTCTTCCCCAAGAAGTTCAGTCACAAATTTAATTAATGCATTTTGTCAAGGTTCCTTCCCCACTCTGAACTCTCGGGTACAGATAGGGGGTCTTTCATGCAGGTCCCCACAAGTTTATTCTTACCAGCTTAGGTTAAAAACTTCCCCAAGGTACAAACTGTTTTACCTGTTGTCCTTGAACCTTTATGCTGCCACCACCAAAGTGTCTAACAAAAATAACAGGGGAAGTGCCCACTTGGAAATGTCTCCCCCCCCTCAAATATCCCCCCAAGCAGTTCACCCCCTTTCCTGGGGAAGGCTTGATAAAAATCCTCACCAATTTGCATAGGTGAACACAGACCCAAACCCTTGGATCTTAAGAACAATGAAAAAGCAATCAGGTTCTTAAAAGAAGAATTGTAATTAAAGAAAAGATAAAAGAATCACCTCTGTAAAATCAGGGTGATAAATACCTTACAGGGTAATCAGATTCAAAACATAGAGAATCCTTCTAGGCAAAACCTTAAGTTACAAAAAGATACAAAAACAGGAATATATATTCCCTCCAGCACAGCTTATTTTATCAGCCATTTAAGCAAAACAGAATCTAACGCATATCTAACTAGATTGCTTACTAACTCTTTACAGGAGTTCTGACCTGCATTCCTGCTCTGGTCCCAGCAAAAGCATCTCTCAGACAAAGAGAGGACCCTTTGTTTCTCCCCCCACCCTCCAGCTTTGAAAGTATCTTGTCTCCTCATTGGTCATTTTGGTCAGGTGCCAGCAAGGTTATCCTAGCTTCTTAACCCTTTACAGGTGAAAAGATTTTTCCTCTGGCCAGGAGGGATTTAAAGGTGTTTACCCTTCCCTTTATATTTATGACAGCATTATTTTTTTAACGAGCATCATCAGCATGGAAGCATGTCCTCTGGAATGGTGGCTAAAGCATGAAGGGGCATATGAATATTTAGCATATCTGGCATGTAAATACCTTGCAATGCCGGCTACAAAAGTGCCAGGCAAATGCCTGTTCTCAGTTTCAGGTGACACTGTAAATAAGAAGAAGGCAGCAGTATCTCCTGTGAATGTAAGCAAACTTGTTTGTCTTAGGAATTGGCTAAGAACAAGAAGTAGGACTGAGTAGACCTGTAGGCACTAAAGTTTTACATTGTTTTGTTTTTCAGTAACAAAAAAAAATCTACATTTGTAAATTGCACTTTCACAATAAAGAGATTGCAAGACAGTACTTATGAGGTGAATTGAAAAATACTACTTTTGTTTATCATTTTTACAGTGCAAATACTTCTAATAAAAATAATATAAAGTGAGCACTGTACACTTTGTATTCTGAATTGTAATAGAAATCAATACATTTGAAAATGTAGAAAAAATCCAAAAATATTTAATAAATTTTCGTTGGTATTCTATTGTTTAACAGTGCAATTAATCGCTATTAATTTTTTAATCACGATTAATTTTTTGAGTTAATCGTGTGAGTTAACTGTGATTAATCGATAACCCTAGTTAGAATGGACTGCAAGGGTCATCCAGCCTAATCCCCTGCCAAGATGCAGGATTTGTTGTGTTTAAACCATCCCAGATAGATGGGTATCCAGCCTCCCTTTGAAAACCTCCAGTGAAGGAGCTTCCACAACCCCCCTAGATATCTGTTCCATTGTCCTAGTGTTCTTACAGTTAGGAAGTTTTTCCTGAGATTTGATCTAAATCTACGATGCTGTAGTTTGATGCATTGCCTCTTGCCCTGCCCTCTGTGGCAAGAGAGAACAAATGCTCTCCACCTTTTTTATGGCAGCCATTCAAGTATATGAACACCGCTATAATGTCCTTCCTCCTTAATCTCCTTTATTTCCAAACTAAACATACCCAGGTCCTTCAGTCTTTGCATTCCATCCCTTTGTTCATCTTTGTCATTTGTCCCGGGACCCTTTCCAGTTTCTCTACATTCTATGCAGAGGTGACCCCAACTGGACACAGTATTCCAGCTGAGGCCTAACCAGCCCTGAGTAGAGTGGGACTATCACCTCCCGTGACTTGCATCCTATGTCTCTGTTAATGTAACTTAAAATTGCATTTGCTTTTTTTGCGACAACATTGCATTGCTGCCTCATGGTGAGGTTGTGATCCACTAGAACTCTCAGATCGTTCTCGCTGCCAAGCCAATTATCCACCACTCTGTATTTGTGCGTTAGGGAAGTGTAACACCTTACATTTGTCTGTTAATTTCATTTTATTGGCTATAGTCCAGTTCTCCAGTTTATCAAGGTCCCTCTGAATTTTAGCTCTAACCTCCAAAGTGTTTGCTTACCCTCCCCCTAGTTTTGTGTCATTTACAACCTTGATCAGTATGCTCTCTATTCCTATATCCAAATAATTAATAAAGATGATAAACAACACCGGCCCCTGAATAGATCCCTGTGGACCCCACTTGAGATTTCCCTCCAATCTGATATCATTTGATTAATGGCTACTCTTTTGTTTGTGGTTATTTAATCAATTATGTATCCACTTAACAGTAGTTCCACCAGACCTGCATATCTCCTGCTAACTTATCAGAATGTTATGTGGGACTGTGTCAAAAACCTGGCTGAAGTCCAGGAATATGTCCACTGTATTCTCCCTATCCACCAAACCAATTGCCCTGTCAAAGAAGGGATCAAGCTGATTTGGCATGATTTGTTCTTAGTAAAGCCATGCTGGCTGCTAGTGATCACCCCTTCATCCTCCAGGTATTAGCAAATTGAATGTTTTACACATTGCTTTAGTAGCTTCCCAGGCTGACTGGTCTATGCTTCCCTGGATCCTCCTTTTTCCCCCTCTTAAAGATGTCCACTGTGTTAGCCTTTCTCCAGTCTTCCGGGACCTCTCCTCTCATCCATGCATTTGTAAATATTATTGCCAGTGGTTCCGAGATTTCTTCAGCTAATTCCTTCAGTACCCGCGGGTGAATAGTGTCTGGCCCTGCTGATTTCAATTCATTCAAATTGGTCCGAAGATCTCTGATGTGTTCTTTATTTATCACTATCTAAACCTTTTTCCCTTTATTGTCGGTTGTAACTTTGCGAGGTGTCCAGTCACGTTATTTTTTGTGGGAAGACTGAAGGAAAGTAAACACTGAGCTGCTCTGCCTTCCTATCAGTTGTTACAAGCTCAACTTTTCCATTGAGCAGCGGACTCTCACTCTTCCTGGAGCTACTTAACTTCATTGCAAAAAATGTAATAAAACAAGCCATGTTCATTGTGTTGCTACTCGCAAACTCAAAAGGTTCCAGAATGTTTTAAATCAACTAATAAACTAACAAATTGCCTGCTGTCTTAGTTGGGTTATAGATAGAAACTGTAGCCAAATATCTCAGCTAGTATATTGTAAATATACTGTTTCTTCTGTAAATAAGTTTGGAAAAGTGTTGTATTAAAACTATTGACCATTTTACTAATCCTCAAATTAAATGTTTTATGATTGTGATCTGTGACTGAAAACCCATGCAACTCTCAAATATCATGAACCTGTGGCAGGTTCCAGGCAGGTTCTGTGCGGAACATCTAAAGCAAACCTGGTTTATGATTATGTAATATAGAAATGTTTTGTTGTGTTATAATTTTTTTGGCTTTAATTTTAAAATACTTTGCTGACTGTTCTATACCCGTACACCCAGTGACAAAGATGCAATATGACCCCATAAGTCAACAGAATATATTTTATAAAACTCAGTTTTGATCTATAATGTAAAGGCTGGTAAATGAATTAGGTGGCCATAGGATTCCAAATATGAGTGGGTGTTTGGGATAAGCTAATTCCCTAGAGCTTGCGTGGAGTCATGGGGGCTGAGCTTTGCGTAGCAGCTTTCCAGTACTGAAGTCTTATGCTGGACTAAGCTAACAGTCAGGCTGAACTAGCTGCAGAACAGGTTAGAGACTGGTTTTAGATGTATTAATATTTTGCCTCTTTCTCCCCTGACCCACATTTCCATGCATTTTTCTGGCCTCAGACCAGGGAGGGAGCAGGCTGTGTGGGCAGCCCAGGCTAGGAGTGAGTGTGCTGGGGAGAGAGGGGCTGGACATATGCACATTTCCTCTATCCATCCTGCAGATTTGTTCTGATGCAGCCTGTTCCATGGACCCATCCATGCTGGGGAACTCCCTTTCTCCTTCTGTGCACCCCATAGAAGTGGCCAGAGAGAACAACTCGGTTATTAATCAATAAAGATTGATTATCTCTCTTGCTTCCCTGGGTACTGCTGATCATAGAATATCAGGGTTGGAAGGGACCTCAGGAGGTCATCTAGTCCAACTCCCTGCTCAAAGCAAGATCAATCACCAATTTTTGCTCCAGGTCCCTAACTGGTCCCCTCAACGATTGAACTCACAACCCTGGGTTTAGCAGGCCAATGCTCAAACCACTGAGCTATCCCCCAGTGTGTCAATAGCACCCACTACTGCATGAGAAATAAGAGTTGGAGATGGGCTTTCAAGTGCTTTAACACTTAGTGACCAAAGACATCATAACAACCACTAAATAACTATCCCAGATTTAACATGACGTTTTTTGTTCTATCATCGATTATCTGGGGTTTGGAGAGGGTGGAAATCGTGTGTGAAGATTAGAAATTGCTCTAAAATCTACCTAAAACATCTGGGTGGTTATTCTCTATAGTGCATGTTTAGCAGCTTATTTCCAGATCATAGCCCATACTTGTACTTCTAAAGACAATTCCAGGATGTTGTTCTCAGTGGGAGGGAAATACCCGTCTGCTTTGCTATTAATGAAATACAAGGCAGTTCAGATTAAAACGATACGCTCCGTGTCTCCGAAATATACTGATCATGTCAATTTAATTGGTTAATGTCACAGGGCTTGTAAGGGTATGTCTACACTACGGAATAAGGTCGAATTTATAGAAGTCGGTTTTTTAGAAATCGGTTTTATATATTCGAGTGTGTGTGTCCCCACAGAAAATGCTCTAAGTGCATTAAGTGCATTAACTCGGCGGAGCGCTTCCACAGTACCGAGGCTAGAGTCGACTTCCGGAGCATTGCACTGTGGGTAGCTATCCCACAGTTCCCGCAGTCTCCGCTGCCCATTGGAATTCTGGGTTGAGATCCCAATGCCTGATGGGGCTAAAACATTGTCGCGGGTGGTTCTGGGTACATATCGTCAGGCCCCCGTTCCCTCCCTCCCTCTGTGAAAGCAAGGGCAGACAATCGTTTCGCGCCTTTTTTCCTGAGTTACCTGTGCAGACGCCATACCACGGCAAGCATGGAGCCCGCTCAGGTAACCGTCACCCTATGACTCCTGGGTGCTGGCAGACGCGGTACGGCTTTGCTACACAGTAGCAGCAACCCATTGCCTTCTGGCAGCAGACGGTGCAATACGACTGGTAGTCGTCCTCGTCATGTCCGAGGTGCTCCTGGCCACGTCGGCTGGGAGCGCCTGGACAGACATGGGCGCAGGGACTAAATTTGGAGTGACTTGACCAGGTCATTCTCTTTAGTCCTGCAGTCAGTCCTATTGAACCGTCTTATGGTGAGCGGGCAGGCGATACGGACTGCTAGCAGTCGTACTGTACCATCTTCTGCCAGGCAGGCAAAAGATGAGGATGGCTAGCAATCGTACTGTACCATCTTCTGCCGAGCAGCCATGAGATGTGGATGGCATGCAGTCCTTCTGCACCGTCTGCTGCCAGCCAAAGATGTAAAAGATAGATGGAGTGGATCAAAACAAGAAATAGACCAGATTTGTTCTGTATTCATTTGCTTCCCCGCCTCCCCCGTCTAGGGGACTCATTCTTCTAGGTCACACTGCAGTCACTCACAGAGAAGGTGCAGCGAGATAAATCTAGCCATGTATCAATCAGAGGCCAGGCTAACCTTCCTGTTCCAATAAGAACGATAACTTAGGTGCACCATTTCCTATTGGAACCCTCCGTGAAGTCCTGCCTGAAATACTCCTTGATGTAAAGACACCCCCTTTGTTGATTTTAGCTCCCTGAAGCCAACCCTGTAAGCCGTGTCCTCAGTCGCCCCTCCCTGCATCAGAGCAATGGCAAACAATCGGGATTCTGAGAGTGCTGTCCAGAGCAGTCATAATGGAGCACTCTGATGGGGCTAAAACATTGTCGCGGGTGGTTCTGGGTACGTACTGTCAGGCCCCCGTTCCCTCCCTCCCTCCGTGAAAGCAAGGGCAGACAATCGTTTCGCGCCTTTTTTCCTGAGTTACCTGTGCAGACGCCATACCACGGCAAGCATGGAGCCCGCTCAGGTAACCGTCACCCTATGACTCCTGGGTGCTGGCAGACGCGGTACGGCTTTGCTACACAGTAGCAGCAACCCATTGCCTTCTGGCAGCAGACGGTGCAATACGACTGGTAGTCATCCTCGTCGTGTCCGAGGTGCTCCTGGCCACGTCGGCGGGGAGCGCCTGGGCAGACATGGGCGCAGGGACTAAATTTGGAGTGACTTGACCAGGTCATTCTCTTTAGTCCTGCAGTCAGTCCTATTGAACTGTCTTATGGTGAGCGGGCAGGCGATACGGACTGCTAGCAGTCGTACTGTACCATCTTCTGCCAGGCAGGCAGGAGATGAGGATTGCTAGCAGTCGTACTGTACCATCTTCTGCCAGGCAGGCAAGAGATGAGGATGGCTAGCAGTCGTACTGTACCATCTTCTGCCGAGCAGCCATGAGATGTGGATGGCATGCAGTCCTTCTGCACTGTCTGCTGCCAGACAAAGATGTAAAAGATAGATGGAGTGGGTCAAAACAAGAAATAGACCAGATTTGTTTTGTACTCATTTGCCTCCTCCCCTGTCTAGGGGACTCATTCCTCTAGGTCACACTGCAGTCACTCACAGAGAAGGTGCAGCGAGGTAAATCTAGCCATGTATCAATCAGAGGCCAGGCTAACCTCCTTGTTCCAATAAGAATGATAACTTAGGTGCACCATTTCTTATTGGAACCCTCCGTGAAGTCCTGCCTGAAATACTCCTTGATGTAAAGACACCCCCTTTGTTGATTTTAGCTCCCTGAAGCCAACCCTGTAAGCCGTGTCGTCAGTCGCCCCTCCCTCCGTCAGAGCAACGGCAGACAATCGTTCCGCGACTTTTTTCTGTGCGGACGCCATACCAAGGCAAGCATGGAGGCCGCTCAGCTCACTTTGGCAATTAGGAGCACATTAAACACCACACGCATTATCCAGCAGTATATGCAGCACCGGAACCTGGCAAAGCGATACCGGGCGAGGAGGCGACGTCAGCGCGGTCACGTGAGTGATCAGGACATGGACACAGATTTCTCTGAAAGCATGGGCCCTGCCAATGCATGCATCATTGTGCTAATGGGGCAGGTTCATGCTGTGGAACGCCGATTCTGGGCTCGGGAAACAAGCACAGACTGGTGGGACCACATAGTGTTGCAGGTCTGGGACGATTCCCAGTGGCTGCGAAACTTTTGCATGCGTAAGGGCACTTTCATGGAACTTTGTGACTTGCTTTCCCCTGCCCTGAGACGCATGAATACCAAGATGAGAGCAGTCCTCACAGTTGAGAAGCGAGTGGCGATAGCCCTGTGGAAGCTTGCAACGCCAGACAGCTACCGGTCAGTTGGGAATCAATTTGGAGTGGGCAAATCTACTGTGGGGGCTGCTGTGATGCAAGTAGCCCACGCAATCAAAGATCTGCTGATATCAAGGGTAGTGACCCTGGGAAATGTGCAGGTCATAGTGGATGGCTTTGCTGCAATGGGATTCCCTAACTGTGGTGGGGCCATAGACGGAACACATATCCCTATCTTGGCACGGGAGCACCAAGCCGCCAAGTACATAAACCGCAAGGGGTACTTTTCGATAGTGCTGCAAGCTCTGGTGGATCACAAGGGACGTTTCACCAACATCAACGTGGGATGGCCGGGAAAGGTACATGACGCTCGCATCTTCAGGAACTCTGGTCTGTTTCAAAAGCTGCAGGAAGGGACTTTATTCCCAGACCAGAAAATAACTGTTGGGGATGTTGAAATGCCTATATGTATCCTTGGGGACCCAGCCTACCCCTTAATGCCATGGCTCATGAAGCCATACACAGGCAGCCTGGACAGTAGTCAGGAGCTGTTCAACTACAGGCTGAGCAAGTGCAGAATGGTGGTAGAATGTGCATTTGGACGTTTAAAGGCGCGCTGGCGCAGTTTACTGACTTGCTTAGACCTCAGCGAAACCAATATTCCCACTGTTATTACTGCTTGCTGTGTGCTCCACAATATCTGTGAGAGTAAGGGGGAGACGTTTATGGCGGGGTGGGAGGTTGAGGCAAATCGCCTGGCTGCTGGTTACGCGCAGCCAGACACCAGGGCGGTTAGAAGAGCACAGGAGGGCGTGGTACGCATCAGAGAAGCTTTGAAAACCAGTTTCATGACTGGCCAGGCTACGGTGTGAAAGTTCTGTTTGTTTCTCCTTGATAAAACCCCTTGCCCCTTGGTTCACTCTACTTCCCTGTAAGCTAACCACCCTCCCCTCCTCCCTTCGATCACCGCTTGCAGAGGCAATAAAGTCATTGTTGCTTCACATTCATGCATTCTTTATTCATTCATCACACAAATAGGGGGATGACTACCCAGGTAGCCCAGGAGGGGTGGTGGAGGAGGGAAGGAAAATGCCACACAGCACTTTAAGCACAGCACTTTAAAAGTTTACAACTTTAAAATTTATTGAATGACAGCCTTCTTTTTTTTGGGCAATCCTCTGTGGTGGAGTGGCTGGTTGGCCGGAGGCCCCCTCACCGCGTTCTTGGGCGTCTGGGTGTGGAGGCTATGGAACTTGGGGAGGAGGGCGGTTGGTTACAGAGGGGCTGCAGTGGCAATCTGTGCTCCAGCTGCCTTTGCTGCAGCTCAACCATACACTGGAGCATACTGGTTTGGTCCTGCAGCAGCCTCAGCATTGAATCCTGCCTCCTCTCATCACGCTGCCGCCACATTTGAGCTTAAGCCCTGTCTTCAGCCTGCCACTTACTCTCTTCAGCCCGCCACTTACTCTCTTCAGCCCGCCACCTCTCCTCCCGGTCATTTTGTGCTTTCCTGCACTCTGACATTATTTGCCTCCACACATTCGTCTGTGCTCTGTCAGTGTGGGAGGACAGCATGAGCTCGGAGAACATTTCATCGCGAGTGCTTTTTTTTTCTTTCTAAGCT